CCTGGGCAGCCTGTGCCAGGGCTCTGTCACCCTCACAGTGAGGAAGTTGCTCCACACATGGAGATGGAACTGCCTGTGCTTCAACTTGTACCCATTGCCCCTTGTCCTGTCACTGGCCACCAACGAGAAGAGCTTGTCTGCTTCTTCCCTGCATTCTCCCTTCATGAACTTACACATGTCAATCAGATCCCCTCTCAATCTTCTCTTCTCCAGAGAAAACAAGCCCAACTCAGTCTTTCCTCGTATGAGAGATGTTCCAGTCCTTTAATCATCTTGGTTGCCCTCCGCTGGACCCTCTCTAGCAGCTCCACGTCCCTCTTGTCCTGGGGAGCCCAGAACTTCCACAGTGCTCCAGGTGCGGCCTCACCAGAGCTGAGGAGAGGGGCAGGATCCCCTCTCTTGACCTGCTGGCAACACTCCTCCTGATGCAGGCCAGGATCCCGTTGGCCTTCTTGGCCACGAGGGCACTGATGCCTCATGGTTAACTTGGTGTCAACCAGGACTCCCAGGTCCCTCTCCGTGGAGCTACTCTCCAGCAGGTCCACCCCTAATCTGTACTGGTGCCTGGGGTTATTTCTGCCCAGGTGCAGGACCCTACCCTTGTCCTTATTGAACCTCATGAGGTTCCTCCTTGCTCAACTCTCCAGCCTGTCCAGGTCCCTCTGGCAGCAAGCCCTCTGGAGTGTCGCCCCCCTCCCCGGGCTTGGTATCGTCCTCATACTTGACTTGCTCAGGGTGCAATCTGTGCCCTTGTCCAAGTTGCTGATGAACAGGTTGAACAGCACTGGGCCCAGTACTCACCCCTAACCTCCACTTCCTCAGCTTTTCCATGAGGATGTTATGGGATATGATGTTGAAAGTCCTGCTGAGCTCAAGGTAAACAACATCCACAGCTCTCCTATTGTCCTATCCAGCTTGTCATCCCATTGTGAAAGGCTGTAATGTTCGTCAGACATGACTTCCCCGTGGTGAATCTATGCTGACTACTCCTCCTCACCACCTTCTTTATATGCCTGGAGATGCACTCTAGGACAAGCTGCTCCATCACCTTTCCAGGTGAGGCTGACTGGCCTGTAGTTGCCTGGCTCTTCCCTCGTGCCCTTTTTGAAGACTGGAGCGATGTTGGTTTCTTCCAGTCCTCCGACACCTCCCCTGCTCTCCAGGACCTCTCAAAGATGATGGGGAGAGGCTCAGCAACAACCCCTGCCAATTCCCTCAATGTTCTCGGGTGCATCCCGTCGGGGCCCATAGATTTGTGGGTGTCCAGTTTGCCTAAGTGATTCCCAGCCAGCGGAAAGTCTCCTCTCCACCAGTTCCCTCTCCTGTCCCACCTCACTGGGTGGTGTCGGAGCAAGTGGGCTGTGAGGCTGCCTGGGGCCGGGCTGTTTGGCTGGAGAGCAGGGCGAGGATGGGAATTGGGGCTGCTGTGGAGGGACCCTGTCCGCCCATGGTGCGCAGCTGGGGAGCTCCAAGTGCCCCAGTGCCCCAACCTCGTGCGGCGCTGAGGGTTGGGCTGGGTGCTTCCTTGTTTGGAAACGAGGAGCACGATCATACTACTTTCCCAGTAGCGTTTCTGCCGCAAGTGTAATTTAACATCATCCTTTCCCTTCAAACGGCCTGGGAGTTTGGCTGTCTCTGCCTTGTGGGCTCCTTTGTTATTTTAATTGTCTTCTGCTGGAGCCTGAAATAGCAGCCTCTTATCTGAACAGAGCTGTCAGGAAGGGGGCGAGGGTGAACAGGAGGGAGACATAAACCCAGTGAGTGAGATTCACGCCTCGGGGTGTGGGGAAAGATGCTCCCGGGTAAGCAGGGGCTGTGCTCCTTCTCTGAGGTCTTCAAACCTGCTTGGATGCCGCCCTGTGCTCTGGGTGTCCCTGCTGGAGCAGGGGGTTGGACTAGATGGTCTCTAGAGGTCCCTTCCAGCCTCAACCCCTCTGTGATCCTGTGTTTGCTGCCGTGCAGCCGTGCCCCGCTCTGGCCCTTGCCGGCAGCCGCACGGAGCGGCGCGCGGCTACCCGGGCAGAGCCGGGAATGGGAACAGCGACGGGCGGCGCCGCGCGGAGCACCCTGCTCTCCGGCAAGGAGCGCCGAGAACACCTGCCCAAAGACGCCTTTCCCGAGGAGTTCTGTGCATGGCCAGCAGCTCAAGGCACAGGGCGAGCCCCTACCGTGTTTTGACTGGTCTGCGACACTATTTCCTTTAAATTGAAATGAGTTTAGCACACCTCTATATATTTTGCAGCACTGCTGGCTTTTGCAAGCCCTTGTTTATCTGATCATGTTCTCTGTTACTGGAATGGGGAGTTGGGAATAAAAGAAATGCTATATAATTTTGAAAAATTGTATTAAAAAAATGGAGCCTAGCACTTCATCTTGCTTGTTTGTATTGTTTTTTAATTTAAAAAAAGTACCTTTGCACTGCACTGCCTGCGGCGTAGCTGCAGCAGCTGAGATGGTGCTGTGCCCCCTTCTGCAAGACTGTCATCCCCCCAGCCATTCTGGGCAAGAACAAGTGTTAAGGACGTGCTCAGTGCAGCACATGGAGAGTTGGGGTTTGAGACAGCCCCTTGCAGTCGCTCCTGCATTTTTGTGTGTGTACACATACACATATACATTAACTTTTCCAAGGGGGCAAGGCCGGTGCCGTGAGCGCGCCCATTTCCACGGCACGTGCCTGGGAAGCCTCCCTTGCGGTCCAGCTAGCGCCGCTGCTCGCGCTCGCCCTCCGGTATCGTCGCTGAAACGCGGCCCGAGCCCGGCTCAAATAACCTGCCGGGGGTTTACTTACAGTAACGCACGTCTTGGTTCTTCTCCTCTAGTGACAGCCCTGCCTCCCTAGATAGGGCCTTTCCTTGGAAATTTCTTTTAGCTCTTAGAGCATTAGGGTTCTTCTAGTCACCTGCTTTATAAACCTTCCCACTGCAGTTCCCCACAGTGAGCTCAGGACATCCCGTGCCTCATCAAAAGCTGTGTCACCCCTTAGAAGGAGGCTTTGCTCCTCGTAAGCAGTAGCATCTAAAGAAATAAGCAGGTGTGTGCAGTCCTTGCTGCATGTGGATCCATTGAAATGCCAGACCAACATACCCCTTTATTGCTCAATTTGTGAACAGCATCACTCGAGTTTTGATACCTAGCTTCAAAACGACTGATGAAAGTTCCTGGTGAACCAAACAAACTACTGTTAAAATGTTCTGTTCTTTTTTTTTTTTTTTTTTTTTCTCTCTTTTTCCTCTCTTCTGTGTTCATCTTTGTTCCTCTGTTTTCTAGGAATTTGATACAGAACAGCATTGAGCAATGAAAGAGAAAAGGCGTTCTCTCCACCCATGAGAATTGTTTGTTGATATGACTGTTTCCTGTAAGGATTCAGAAACTAATTGTTAGGGTATTGCTTTGCTGGAAAAAAGAATATAAAGATTTCGATAAAATTATAGTTGGCTCCAGAACTAACCCTTTTAAAAATGTAGAATTTTAACCTCTCAGTTAAAAGAATTTTTTCTGTGGTAAGGTATCTCAATTATCCCTATGGTGGAGACATTATTAAGGATCTGTCAATTACGTAAAAGTCTTAATGGAATTCTTTAAGTGATTCTTTTAAAAAAAAGATACCATGATATATAACCTGTAAAAACAAAATTGATGTGAATGAGCTTTTTTTTTTTTTAACAGTCTGATTTTATTTTTTTTTTTTAAGAAAGGATCTCCATGCTTTATGTTTGTGACCCTGATAAAAATCTGCCTTAGCTGCTTGGTCCTGTTTTCCCGCTGGGATCTCTCGGTTCTGCGGGTATTTTGGGTGCCAGCGCCGCTGCGTTGCTCGCTGCTCCTCGGGTAGCGCCGCGAGCGAGGGGCTGAGCGTTCGCTGCCCCGGCCGTTGCACGGTCCTCTTTTGCAGTTGGCAAGTGGCAGCTCTTGCCTTTTCCTTCGCACGTTTCCTGCGGGACAAGAGTGGCGCCCAGCTGGGCCGCTCGTGGCACTGAGCAGCCTCGTAAACCTGCCCTTAGAGCGGGCTGCCCAGAGGAGCCCGCGGCCGGCTCTTGTCCGGCCCTGCAAGGGGGGACCGAAAACAGGGCCCGAAGGAGCACGTTAGTCTGGGTAGCCCAAATCGGAGCCTTTCAGAGGACTGCCAGCAGTGACCTTAGGGAGGAGCGCTGCCCTGCCCGTTCCTCTCGCAGCTTCCTGGTGCTTTTGGAGATATAAATGCATAGTGGTGATAAAGGGCAGCGGGATACATGGTTCCATCCCTCAGCACCGTTGTGGATTTGGCAGGGAACAGCGCTGCCCTTCCTCAGCCGGTTGCCTGTGGGTCTCTGTGGACGAGGCTCCCTGTGTGTGCTGCCAGGCAGGCGGGTCTCTTCGGTCAGTGCTCGCCGTGAGCGCTCACCTCCACATCCCAGTTCTGTTTCTCTCATGTGTTTGCTGGTTATTCTTGGCCAAATTTGTAATTCACAGCGAGAAGAACCCAGTGCTTCACGGTTTGCTGCTGCTCAAGTGTCCCTCCTTGCCCCCCAGTATTTATTTATATCCCACGGTATAAATGGAATAACTTCATTTGCTGTTTAGTGCAGCCTTTTGATCCTTAGAACGGGGCCGGAGTGATGACTCACCTCCACTTGCTTTTGCCTTGGCATATTTGCCAGTCACGCATCAGAGCATTTGAGCTCTGCTGGCTTGTTGCTCTTGCTTACTAACAGAAAGATTTGTCAAATGTCCCGTCTTTTTTTTCTGCTCATAGCGTATCGTGTAACTTGAATGATAGAAATGCATTCATTTCACAAATTGGATTGGCAAACCTGTGCCTTTTTTTCTTCCCCAGGCCCTCAGCGGAGCTGGTTTTAGCACAGATCAAAAGAAATCACGTAATAACTTGCAGAAATGATGTGAACCAGCTTCACATGCTGATGCTGGCTTCTGCTCTGATTGAGAAAAGTTTTATAGCAGAGAGAGAAGGAAATGTTTTTCTTTTATAGCACTATTAACATATTGGTTTGCTTGGTTCCTAGGTTGCATCACAGCGCATAAGCTCAGTGGATCTTTCATGCTGCAGCCTGGAGCACCTGCCTGCCAACCTGTTTTATAGCCAAGACCTCACTCATCTCAACCTAAAGCAGAACTTTCTGAGGCTGAACCCTAGTCCATCCACGAACAGAGCCCTTAGCGAACTGCAAAGGTAACGTTGGGGAGTTCCACTGCTGTCCTCTGTCCTTCCTCTGCAGTCCTGCTTCTGGGGAGCCTTCTTCTGTGGGAACTTCCTTAAAGCAGCGCCAGCCTAAAACCTAATTCCTTCTCCTATGGAGGAATGACCAGGCTGGGCACTTGTCGCAAATGAGGCAGCCCTGCTAGAAACGGCCTGATAGTTATTTTCCTTCCAAAATGCAGCACTCAGCGCGCGTTGGTTCCCACCCAATTCCTGGATCTGGAGTGTTTCTTCAGTCTGCTGCTCCCGTGAGCAGCCGAGTGAGCCTGTGAACTGGCTGCCAAAGGGAACATCCTACAGAGGGAGGATGCTGTGAGGGACTCCCCTCGGGGGGGTTCCTTACCCTCAAAGGCCTCAGTTAATACATTCTGCCTGAAATCTTTCTCTTCTTCTCTAACCTGCCCTTGCTCCTCTCTCCTAGTAACTGTGACCTTCCAGTCCCGGTGTGGATTCCTCCCTGGTCTTGATTATTCTGGGGTGGTTGTTCTCACTGCGGTCCCTTCTCATCCAAGACCGTAGCGCATAGATAGACAGTGGCAGTGATCTGAATGATTTAACGTGTGTGTCCCAGAACTGTGGAGTCAGCAGGCTGCTTGGATTCAGAGAGGCAAATGTTGCCCTACAGAATATGAAACTGTGGCTTTGATTTCAGCAGTAGGAGAGTTTCAGTGAACCTCCAGGTTTTATTTGAGGATGGTCCTCTTCAGATGGTGGAAGGGTTTAAGCCACACTTGTGTCCTTGTTGAAAAATACCCAAGAAATACAAGAGGGATTTTAGAGGCTGATGCATTTTTACATTATTTCAGTTCTCTTTTGGAAAAACAAAAAAATTGGCATGATGGAAGATGAACCATCTCCTTGAATCTGCTTCACAAACACAGCGTGCAGCAATTCCAAGAGCAGATGAACACGGCCTGGAGACTGATATGGGATTAAATGCTTTGAATTCTTCCACGTAGCCAGTGAAATTTTAGCAGAAGTGCAGTAATGAGCACAGACAATGAATTAATGTTTTTATTTTAAATTTTTTTCCTACTTTTTCTTTTTTTTAATATCAGAAAACATTTAGGAGATTAGAATTTAAAAATAGAGTGATGGGCCACTTTTGTTGTCTGTTTAATGTTTTCCTGGCAATGACAGTGGTAGGAACTGCAAAAAAGCCTTGCTGAAAAGCAGCACTACTGTGTTTCATGATAGTATCCCCACACAGTGGGAATTTGCCCTAAAGCCCTTGCTATTTTAACTACTGTCTACTGCAAATTGAGGAAAAAAAGTGAGTTGGTGGATTTTAAATCATAAAGGTGAGGTTTGCATATATATTACATTCCTAACTCTTCTCATACTTTTTCCTTAAATTACAACAAAACTTCATAACCCTTCTGAAACTCAAGCAAATATTTGGGTTTAATAGTTTTGCAGAGTACTATTGCTCAAAGAAGCAATGAATGAGCTGTAGTCTCTGTGGCTCTGTGTCTTGAGCTACGTGCCTTTTATATTCCTATATAACCGTCAGGCTGAACGATTAGGAAAAAAAATACCCCAAACCTTTGCATCAAGAATGCTGTTTGCTTGTTAATTATTGAAAGTAATTAAATCACTGAGTGCTAAGTTGTCAGTACATGGCTTTTTAATGGAAGCGTATCACAAAGTGCAAGGCTCACAGAACTGGCAAGCATCATTTTATTCCCTGTTCAACGTCTTGTGGCTTATCACCTCTTTCTTTATCTAACGATCAAGTTATGCTTTTTGTCAGTGGCTGTTAATTATTAGCAGTGATTATATGGATTTTAATCTGAAGATCAATTGATATCTTTTTTTCCTCTCCAGAGCCCCCTCTTAGAAATCATCTCTCCTCTCAGGGATCTTCTTGTTTGTTTTTTTCTTCTTTTAAATCTGCAACCCCCTCCTTGGGGATCCCCGAGCTACATCCCCCGCCAGTAGCCGGGCGGCAATGTTAATGATCTGAGTGGAGCAGAGCGGCGGCCTGGAAGCCAGAACCGGACACCGTTTGCTCCCGGTGTGTCCCTAGGGATTGAGCAGGGCCTCGAGTCTCCGCTCTGTGACTGACCGCTCTCAAGGCCTAGGGAAATGATGGCTGTTGGTGATGTGTCCGGCACTGAGGGGATTAATGACATGGAAATGTCCTTATCCGCCAGGCCCTGAGCGGCTCTGCCAGTCGACGCCCTGGGAAGGACAACGGAGGCAGCAGCTCCTGGCGCCTGCTGCAGGGAGCCCGGTGCCCTTCACGTTTCTTGCAGTTCCCCCACTCGAAGATGCTCCGAGTCTCCCTCCTTTCTTGCTTTCACTCTCGCTCTGCTAAAGGTGCTCTCCTGGAGAGGAGCTCGCGTGCAGGTGGATCCAAAAGCAGGTGTCCAGGCGGCGAGCGCGGGCGCTGCCCTCGTGCCTGTGGAGCAGGGACCTCTCCGGAGGCCTCTCCCGCTCCCGGCTGCCCAGATCCGGGCGCCTCTCGCCCTCCTGGGCCCTCCTTTGAGGGAGGGGGAGGGGGAAGCAGAGGGCGTATTGCGAGGTTGCCTTGATGTCAAAAACACAGTGCGTTTTCTGGTTAAAACTGTCCGAAACAGCGAAGGAAAAAAATCAATGAAATGTGGAAATGTAGAAATTTTCAGGTTAGTGGAGCTATTAAACTAAATACAGCAGTAACTCTTGTAAATGCCACTTTAAAACTATTGAATGTATTTATGGAGTCCATAAATTATGTATCAGCCTACTGCAATTGATTTCTCTATTCTTTTTTGATAAGACTTCCAAAGTCTTTTCTTCCATGTTTTTAAATGTATATTCAGCAACAATACGTACTAGCTGCATTGGACTGCGTTTCTCTGCTTGGGGATGCAGTGCCTGTTGCTTTTGCTTGTTTCCATTCTACATCCAGTGGAGGAAAAGCTGACTTGTTTTGTTTCAGCCGGGGAGATTTGGACAGTGTCAGCTGAGCCTCTTGCACAATGAATTTGGTACAGGTAGTATTTTAAATTTCTATTCTGCAAATATGCACACACATTCACTTTCTAAAAGAAGCATAGTTTTTGGATTGGTAACCAATCCCTAGCGTATGCTTGTACATTGTAAATATAAGTTTCTAATCCTGAAGTGGAGAGTACATTGTCATTTTTCTTCTAGGAATTTTGTTCTTCCTCCGAGAGCAGTGTTTTCTCCCCACTGAAGCAATATGTTCCAGGGCTGTGCAGAAATTGAGAAATGCAGAGAAAAATAATCTAGCTTCAAATTGCTTCCACTGTAAAAAAAAAAAAGTACTTTTTTTTTCCTGCCTTTATAGTCTTACCAGCTTTGTCATAGGGCTGTAGTGTTGTCTTGAAGTTTGTATGTAGTCTTTATTTAAATTAACATTTGTGATTATTTGTATATTTTGAAAAATAACTGCCCAGGCTAAAGTTTATTTCTTTTTATTTAGTGGGGATTTTTTTTTTTTGGAAAGCAATCTACCAGTTACTTTTGGCATGTTGTCTGAACTCTGTCTTCCAGAATTCTTGTGCCTTTTTTAGCTTGAAGTGGAGAGAGAAAGAAAAAAATATCGGGATGACTTTCTGGTATGTTGGCACAAAGGGTAACAAAGATACCAAAACTGCAGCTCTCAGTCTGCTTTTGGTTTTTTTTCCTTTTTTTTTTCTTTTTTTTTTCTCTCAGCAAAGGTTTAAGAAAGGGCAGAGAAGGAAGAAATGAGAAATTGAACAGAGCTGTTTTAATTCATGCATTCAGCTAATGAAAAAAATTGATAAAGAATGGAAAACATCTTCAAGGTCCTTGTTGACCTGACTAGAATCGATCCTTGCTCTCAAAATCCGCAGTTGGCTTCTCTTCAGGTGCCTTTATTATTCCATCTTCTTTTTTGCAGTGTAGCATAAGCTCCTTGGCTCCTGGGTGAGCAGGAGTCCAGCCTGGAGAAACAGAGAGAGCAAGACTCACTCCTCCTCGTCACGCTCTCTGTATTGTGTGTTAAAAGCTCCTTGGTGTCAGAGTGGGAGGTGCTGCTGTTGACTTCACATGGGCAAAATGTCACCTGCGGCATCCAGCTGTGGAAGGGCACTGCTGTGAAAATATGGAATGGAAAAAAAAAGGGATCTCCCGCAGGTGCAGCAAGGCAGTAAATCAGCACGCTGGTTGCAGAGCCCGGAGTCAGTGAGACAGCTTGAGGAGCCCCTTTGGTGGCAAGCTGGTGGCCGGAGCGAGCTCTCGTGAAGGCCCCGCCTCAGCACTTAATGGCTCAGGGACAGCTCTGCTGCTGCTGCCTCCGGTGTGATGCCCACCCGTAACGGTGAGAGACCCCAAGCACCAGAAGGCAATTCCGTCTCCATGTGAGGAGGAACACCTTCACTGTGAGGGTGACAGAGCCCTGGCACAGGCTGCCGCCCTGTGCCCCGTGCTCTGCGTGTCCCTGCTGGAGCAGGGAGTTGGACTGAATGAGCTCTAGAGGTCCCTTCCAACCTCAACCATCCCGTGATTCTGTGTGTGGGAAAGCGGCGGCGTCTGTGAGGCCGAGTTCCCTGCGAAGCTGCGGGGTCTTCCCTGGGTGGTGCCGGGCTGTGCTTTGGCGGCCGCGCTCCGGCAGCGGCGGGGGCCGAGGCCCCTCCGCGCTTCCTCTGCCCCACGCGGAGGAGCCGGGTGCGGTGCCGGGGAGGCCCCGGCCGGGAGGTCGCACGCGAGCTCGCTGCGCTGCAGGGCTGCCGGCCTCTCCCGTTAGGTCCAGGTGAGACCCCCGCGGCGGCGCCGGCACCGTAGGGATTCATCCAGCCGCAGTTCCTGGCTCAGCTGTGGCGAGCCGCGTTCAGTCGTACTGCGGGCTCAGGGAAGGGGCTGACCTATCAGTATTTTGCTGTGTTTTAAAGTTAGAACTGCTTCGAGGCAGGGAAATGAGCGTTTTTGTGTTGATTGTTGCAAGAGAAAGCTCAGCTAGCTGGACATGGCATACTGAGAAATCGTCTTTGGCTTAACTTGGATTAAAAATCTAGGACCAGGGAAGGAAGAGAAGATAGAAAACAGGTATGTAATTGAGGTCATTACGCTGGCACGTCCCAAACACATGAGCAGGACTGCACCTTTTCTTCTCAGAAATGCCGTGATGGCAGCATCTGTGTGGACCCCCGCTGCTGCTGAAGCTGGGTGTGAGAAAAGAGCAGGGATGCTATGCTGGGAGATCTGTTTGTGGTTTGTGCCTTATTTATATTGATCTATACGTGGTTCGTGCCTTATTTATATTGATGCTACAAGCGCTGTTGCTGCTACGGACTGTAAATTTATACGGATGTACAAAGCACTATAAACAGTTCAGCATTTGAGATGTGCAGCGTGGCAGCAGTGCTCCGCAGTGGAAGCAGGCTGGGCAGGCTGGGTAGCTGGTACTGTGGGGAGAGGGACCAAAGGCGCCGGGATCTGGACTCGGAGGCATTTGTCCGAGTCGGCATTTGGCTTTTGGGCCAGTCCTGCACTGTAACTGTCACTGCGCCGGGGGGAGAAACGTGGCGTCAGCATCTCGCACGTGAACCCCCTCCCCAAAGAGGAAGAACAAGCTCTTTCCTGCCGGTTTCCTTTCCTACAACTGCCTCCTTCACTCTTGACTGAGCTGAAAGCATTGGCTCCTAGCTTCCCTTCAAATATCCCTTAGGAACAAGCTGTCCTCCCTGGGCTGTTTGACTTGCACATCCACATGCGTTTTTGGCTTCTGTTGAGTGTCTCTGCTGCTGAGAAGTGCCCCCTACCCTCCTTACGTGTCCTGTCGACCTGCTGACACTTTGTCCTCCGTAATTAGACGAACTAGGAGTTTAACATACAAATGGACTCGCCACAGACCCTGAAGCCCACTCCAGGGTAGTAAAGGATGCACTGCAGGTACTTGCTCTCCTTTAGTGGAGCGAGTGGAGGAGTGAGAGCGAGCCAGGGAAGGTGCGGGAGGGAGCCGTGCCCGGAGGATACCCGCTCCGGCAGCCCCGTGGTGCCGGCGGGGAGGCCTCTGCGTGTGTTTCCAGCCGAGCAGCTGCAGGGCACGTTGGTCACCAGCATGTTTTAGTGCGCCTTTTCCCGTCATCTCATATGCCCTGACCCCCAAATTTCAAGCTGCTGTCTCTGCCATCTAAGTCTGCAGATACCTTCAAAAGGCTGAAAGAGGACTCTGCTTTAAAGACCTTCAAAGAAAAAAAAAAAAAAAACTGTGTTTTATACCCAACATTATAAATTTTTAGTTATGTATTCAAGACTTTGGAAGCCTCTCTCTGGAAGCAGAGGAACGGGAAGGCATTTTAATTTGCTGGCTAGCTGCCCTTATTAACATGAGCTCGTTTACCCCAGCCTCCTTTTTCTCTCACAGCTCTCCCCCTAGAGATGCATTAGTCATTGTTTCTGCACAGTAGCCTTTTCCCCTGCAGCAGTAATTTGATTGCAAGATTTCATTCAGTCTCCATGCAAGGCTGTTCCAAGCCTCTCCTGCCTCCAGCATGGCACAGGGTGTTCACAATCTGTGATAACTTGGCCATGATTTTCCCTTAGCTCTCCCTGCCTCCCCTGCCCCCGGTCACTGGGAGAGAGCAGAGCATTCCCATGCTTGCTGGGGATCACTGTAAGCGTTAAGTGTATTTACAGGCTGTCTCTTGGGATAAAAACCACACTGTGCTTACAACTGCCATTGCAATGTGGCGTGAAGGCACTGTTTGTGTTTCCGTGTTGAGTGTTGACGGGTTGCCTGAGTTTGACTTAGGCAATAGTAAAGACACGCGTCAGTTAATTGCAGTAGTTTGTGGGCTTGGCTTTGAGAGTCCTTCAGCATTCAAACTTTATAACCCGTTTAATGCTCGCTGCTCTTGCTGCCCTTGTGTTTGGAATGGGATCGGAGCGTGCGGAGCCGGTGCTGAGCAGGTGGCTGCATGGGCACCGGCTGCCTAAAGCACAAGGTTCGTGCACGTAGGGGCAGCTCTCCTTACATTGACACCTTATGTAAAAACCTGCTCACACAAGGAAAGGGCTCGGGAGCTCACGAGGAGCAAATCATGCCCTGGCGTAGCTGGTGCCAGGAAGGAGGCTCCCATCCTCCCATCCTCCCTTCCATCTCTGGGGAGGGGACAGGAACAGGGAGCTCTTTGGGCACCTGCTTCTCCACCTCTCGGTGGCTCCTGAGCTGCTGAGCGCCCCGGCTGCCTCCCCGGAGCCTCCCCTTGCGCTCTTCCCTCTTTCCTGCTTTTCCTTCCCCTCCACCTGCAGCAGTCCTCTCAGTCGTTTCTAAGGATGGGAGCCTGTGCAGGATCCCTGCCTGGCTCACTTGACTAATGGAGGATGTTTTAGGAGTTTTGTGTCGCGTCCAGGACAAAGTTTTGGCAATTCCTGTGAGCTGTAACATCCAAACCAAGGATACCCAAGTGAGAGTTTTAGAATTTGCCTCTGTTGCTACAGAGCTTGGGCTAAATTTTGCCTTGCGCCGGCATGTTTAGCAGCTCTGTTCAAAGCCACTTAATATTCTGATGAGATTTTGGGGGGTTGGTGACTCTGCTCACACAAATGGAGCTGAGCTAACGCAGGAGAAGTTTCTTTTCAAATATGCTAAGAACTCTTGCATCTTGCTACCAGGGTCACCAGTTATATGGGCTGTATTACTAGCAAGAAACATACTCAGGAGTAGGGCAGTACCTCACTAGAAATGACATATTTCATAAGACCAGCAAGCATCTGTTGTCCTGTGCTGCTCTCTTATGAAGATATATGTAGCTTGTTGTTCAGAAGGGCACATTTTTCTTCTGCTGGGTTAAGATCAATGAACTTCTTCGAGGGGCGTTTGACTTTGCCTGATAGTTTCCTTCCTTGTGCTAAATATGGGGTGCATAAGCTAAAAATGCCTCCCATTTTCTTTTAAATACCCAGCCCTACCTCATGTTAATTTTTGCACAGCGACTTAGTGTGTTTGTGTCCTACTTCCTTAAAATGTCTCCCCCTGCTCTTTCCTTTCCTTTCCTCCCTGCAGATTCACCAAGCTGAAGAGCCTTAACCTTTCCAACAACAACCTGGGCGAGTTCCCCGTGGCCGTGTGCGGCCTGCCGACGCTGGCTGAGCTGAACGTGTCCTGCAACGGCCTCCGCCGCGTGCCGCCCGCCGCCGCCGACATGCACAAGCAAGTACTTCTCAACACTTAACGCAGACAGCCTCACAAGAACGGCCCTAAACAGCGGCCTGACTTTGCACGTAGCCTGTTGTGAATTCGGGGTGGGGGGTGTCCCAGCCAACTGGCTCATACGTTTGTCCTGCAGCCCCTGTGAGCTCCGGGTGGTGGGAAATGCCCTGTCTCTTGAAGCTGTTTTAGTCCCCTGTGAGTGGAACCAGAGTCTCCTTCATGCTGAGGAGAATCTTCAACCCTGCCCCTTGCTCCTGTGTCTCCAGCCATGCGAGTGGCAGTGCTGGAGATGTTGGAAGCTGTGGTGCAACTACCTTCCACGTCCTGCGTTTCGTAGTTGCCAAGACCTTTAAACCAGTTAGTCGATATCTTCTTTCCACGTTTTCTGCTCTTACCCGTGTTATTTCACTGCAACAGCAGTAGCTTTGTGCCTCTGTAACAACTGAAAGGTGTCTCACATTTACTGTCCCCCCACCCCTGCTCTCCCTTGGACAGCTTGCAGACCTTTCTGCTGGATGGAAACTTGCTCCAGTCCCTTCCTGACGAACTGGAGCGTATGCATCAGCTCGGCTACGTCAGCCTGTCCTTCAATGAGTTCACTGACATTCCAGGAGTGTTAGAGAAGCTGACTGCTATGGATAAGCTCTGCATGTCAGGGAACTGCTTGGATACCCTCGACCTCCAGGGGTTAAAACGGATGCCTCATATTAAACACGTGGATCTAAGGTAGGTGTTTGAAAAAGGGCAAGAAGAAGTGAAACTGAATTACTGGTTTTGGAACAATTTCTCTTCAGCAGCCGTAGCCCCCTGGGTATGGCTGTTGTATTAGTCCAGTGAACCACGTTTCTGCCTGTGTTATGTAACGAGCAGTGATTACAGTGACTTAGCCTTCAGAGATAGCATTTAGGGAAATTAATAATTGGGAAAATGAGTTTTGGGGGGAAATGAAGATCTATGCTGAAAAAAAAAATAAATGGAAAAGTACTGGGGATGCATGTGATTCCTACAGTCGTGGCGGATGCAGTGCTAATATAATATAAATGATAATCCCAGACCCGAGGACCTTCTGTCTGAAATATTACAGATGAGTTAGGTGAAGAAATGAGCAGTAAAGGTGAAAGGAGAAAAAAACAGATGTTACTCTGTTTCTTGCTTGTTGGCGTGTTACAAAGTTACACCGTGAATACTAACATTTTTGATGCTCTCAGGAGAGGGTAAGTCTGTCCTTCTTAGGAATGGCTTTTTTGCCCCAAGGTGACCCTCTCCTCCTGCACTCTTCAGGGAAGCCAGCTCAGTAATTTGCTGAGTGGGACTGTTTTGTGGTCGGGACACCGGTGTCCGGACAAGGGTGAATTTCAGAACCATCCAGTTAAACTGGGCCACCAGAGCTAGAATTTACAGCCGTCCCATATGCCCTGTAGCCTTTGCAGGCAGCAGGAGCCAGCCTAAGTAGGAGCTAGTTAAGGAAATAGCCAAAACGGATAATTCTGAGGTGTATTTTGCAACTTTGAAATGTGTCTTTGTGAGTATGTCTAGGCTAAGCAACAAGACCATGGTGCTTTAGCTTTAATGTTGTTGATGTACTTTCTCGTGCCCTTTTGCTAAGGCCTGGTATTTAATTAGTGCAGTCTGCTCAGCTCAGCCAAGGGCTGTCTGTGAAGGTGTGAGCACCAACAGGACTAGGGCGGATGGCTCAACCAGACCACCCCATGCCCGAGGTTGTTGTCAAGGGGCAGGAAAAGTGTGGAAGTGAAAAACAGCATCCTGGATGCTTGATTTTCAGCCCTAAATTAACTGCTGCTTTTTCTGTTTGGAATTCAACCGAGTAGGTTTTGATTCATTTGGAGCATGCTAGGAGACATGCATGAACTGACTTGTCGGGCTTTAATTGCGTTTTGGAAGGAGAGGAAAAGAAAAGCAGGGCCTGTTTCCCAGAAGGGAAGCAGAAGCCTTCCCATCCGAGGCCCGTCTGTTGTTGGTGCTCTTGCCAGTGCCCTTCTGCTTCCCACCTGTGCAAGGCTTAAAGCTCAAAAAGAGCAGGAGAGAGCCTCGAGCCCCACAGCAGCAGTTCAGCTTTTAGTGAGGTAGTGATAGTGATGGGGGGCTGCAGGACCACCACTTTGGCATTGAAGTCCATGAAATCCTTGAGCTTGGCTGCCTCAGTTTGCTGTGGGTTCTCACTGCGCTGTTGGGAGCTTTCTCACTGTCTGTGGTCTCCTCTCTGTGCTGAGCAGTGAACCTTGGTTCCCTGTGTTCCCACCTTGGGTGTTTCATCTTGACCATGCTGGCCAACGGTGCCTGCTGCATGGCTAAGTGCTTGGGTTCAGTGAAACCACAAGTAAATATCATTGATAAATTAAAAAGAGAAGTAATAGGTTGTGGCGGTGGAGGGGTCATATTCCCTATTTTATTGTAATTGGAAAGGGTAGCTAGTTTGCAAATGTAAAACTATAGCAGAAAGGGGAGAGTACTTGAAAGCAAGAGCAACCAGAGAGCTGTATGTGGCTGTTGTGATCCTCAGAGAGGGATTTAGTGCATCCACAGAAATCACTGCTCTGATTTCTAAAGTGTTATGGTCAGAGCTGAGAGTTTGAAAGTGAGTTTCTTTTTGAAGTGTTCTAGCATCTCAAATGTTGCTGTGTTTATAGCTCAGCTTTATTTCAACCATAACTTTTTGGTTGATTTCAACTTGCTGAGGACTGACAGCTTCAGTGCACTGCAGTGAAGATGCAGTAAAGCCTGTGCTCTTCATCTCCCAGATTCCTATTTCTTTTGCTTTCCTTCAACGCTCTTCTTGGCTTCTGATTTACCCACTGTGGAATCTGGTGAAGCGAGAAGCAAGTTTGGGAATTCATAAATCTAATTGTGGTCTTTCAGTGCTGTTACATTTACAGATAAATTGTGTCTGCCAGGCGTTTCCAGCAGATGCTCATAATAGCTCTTTGAAGGCCAGCAGGAACTGTAGAGGTTTTATTTTTCCTCTTTCCAATCGGGCACAAATAGCAACCAGATCATCCTTTTTTTTATAAATGTAATAATATCCCCCTTCTCGGGCTTTTTATCAGTAGCTTTCAGTGGGGTTTGGAAAGGAGCTTAAAGTCACGATTCCTTTGTCCTGATGGTAAAACGAAATATTTGATCCATCCCGCTTAAAGCACCGTAATGAAGAGAAAAATCCTAAAAAAGTCCAACTTGATCAGGACTTGCAGGGTGGTTTAGTGCAGTGTAGAGTGAGCGTTACGTTGGCTGCAGGGGCCTATCGTGTCTCTCTACACTGAATGTCCTTTCCTTTTGGTGGCTGCAAGATTGAACTCAATCCAGAGGCTGGTGGCGGACGAAACGGACTTTCTGCCCCACGTGACCCAGCTGGATGTGCGGGACAACAAGCTGGGCGAGCTGGATGCAACCGTCTTCAGCAACGTGGAAGTGCTGCACTGCGAGAGAAACCAGCTGGTGACCCTCAAAATCAGCGGGTATTTCCTCAAGGCGCTTTATGCGTCCTCAAATGGTAAGAGGGTCTTCCGGGCACCCGTGCTGGGCTCTGGCTGCTGGGGGCCGGGGTTTCCAGCCTGCTCCTCTGTGGGACACACGGCAGAAAGGGCTCCTGGTCAGGGGGAGTCGGCAGGCGGCTGCTGAGGTCGAGCTGTGGTGAGGGGGTTGTGTGTTTGCTGTGTCGTTATTGAGCTTCGCGTGTGAACTTGCACAAGTTGAGACTTGAAGGTCTCAAAGCCATGGAAATGTTAAAATCAGGCTCTGTTGCTGCTGGGAGATGTCTGGAAAGGCATCAGTTCTGTGCTGCATAAAAGCGTCACTCTAGCAAGGCAAACGAGGCATTTACTGCCTCTCCCCGGAGTTAAGGAAGCTGAGCAAGTGGCCTTTTATGAGACAGGCTACAACAATATATATTTTAACTACAGTATCTAGTTGCTCTAGCCAGCAAGCTGTAAGAGCTGTGATCAGTAGCTTGGTTTTTATTTTAAAGTAGAAATTATGCAGCTTTTTTCCAGTGGAGTAACACCTGTTTTCCATTAATAGGATTTGCTTGATGTGATTCTAGCAGCAGCCGTTACTCACACGACTGAAATACTCGGCTTTCCCTGCTGCTTTTTACCATTTGGGGTGGGCTGGCATGGGATAAACCAAACAGAAGCCCGGAGAGCCGTGAATTCCCGGAGCGCTTTGCGCTGCCTCTAAAAGGCCGTCACCGTCTCGTTGGCCAGGGCTTGGGCCAGGAGCCCTGTGGCGCCGGGAAGCCGAGGGCGGCCGCGCGGGCCCCGCAGCGGGAGCAGGGGCTGCAGCAGAGCAGCCTCACTTGGCCCTCTCTTTCAGTCTCCTCCTCCAGAGAGAGTGTCCTCTCCTCCGTTTTTTCACTTCAGTGGCTTGTTCTGGAAGCTGAAATTCTGTTTCTCTTTCAGCCTTAATGCCAAGTATTACCTAGAAACCTTAGGGTATGGAATATAATTTAAGGAATCGAAATGTGAGGTTGCTAGCTTTGGGAGCCCTGCAGCCTGTGAGGCTGCCTGTAAACAAAACTTCTGAAGTGATGCAGATGCTCACGCACTGCTGTGCTGAAAAGCACTCTGTGTCTTGCCGTGACCTGCAGGAGTCTGGAGTTTTCCATAGCTTGCTGTTCCAGCGTGGGGAATTTCCATCCTCAAAGTGACCGGGGAGCAAAGCGGAGGAGGTTTGTGCGTGGCTGGTCTGGCTGCAGCAGGCAAACAAGTGTGGCACAGGTTAAGGGGAACTCTGAATGGGACAAAGATTTCCTCAAAAAGATTTCCTCAAAACTCCTCAAATCCTCCAGCTTCTCCTTTCTCATCTCTTAGGGAATGTCTGTCTTAGCAAGTACAGCCTGAGGTAGCAAATAGATAGTCAGGCGTATTGAAGAGACAAAGCTCAGTTCACAAGGGTGCAGAGCTTGAGAAGCAGAGCTTGCTTTGTTGTTGTTGTTACTGACTTCTACTGAAAACTCAGTGTTGGCTACTTAGAATATCTCTTGAAGAGACCTAAGTGGTTATTCTGTGTTTTGAAACATGACATTTATTCCTGTTTTACCTCCTAGAACTTGTTCACCTTGATGTGTATCCAGTTCCGAATTACCTGGCTTATATGGATATTTCTAGGTAAGAATAGGTTCTGTGTTTTCTTGGGGCCTGTAGAACACAAATCAACCAAAATTATGAAAGCAACATACATTGGTATTTTGCTGAGAGGAAGTTGGGACCAAAATCGGATCCTGAGGTGGGCAAAGGTTGGTTCTAAACCTCAGAAAATACACTTTCTTCTACTGAGCAACTCCTCCCTGTTTCCTTTTGATTCATTTATATTACGAAAAGTATAATACATGTTTCTAGTTAATGGAAAATAATATCACTGATTTGAATATTTCTGAACTCATACACAGCGTTGATCAAATAAGTATTGATATGAGACCTCTATGCAAGTTGCCTTCTAGATGTGGCAGCCTTGCAAGCCTGACATGGGACGTGGTTTGATAGCTCACTTGTCAGTTTTGCAGCACCTGCAGCCCTGCACATGTGCCTAATGCCTTCCTTATTTAAGGCACTGCTCATCTGCACATGGAAGTGATAGCTTGATATGTTAAAAAGCTGCCCAAAGGCACACCTAGACTGCTGAGGATGACTGTAACAACTAGTGAGTTAACCTGGGGCAGGGGCCATCGCTTTCTAGGCAGTATCAATCCTGAGTTAGTCATCTAGATGCAGTACATGTGCGTGGCTGAGGGTCGTGCCCTGTCTGTAAGGCTGTATTCTTAGCTTAGTAGAGGTCATGTGGGCAATGGTTGCAAGTCTCTAATGACCCTTTTTGTGCCTTGGGTCTATGGTGGCATGTTATAAAATATAGACATATATTATAGAAAATATATAGAGACATAAAAAGAGACAATATATGAAGACATAAGAAGTCTTTAGCTTCTTGGGCCTCTTTGGCTCACTTGGAATTTGGGAGATCTTTATGAGATTGAAAAGGAAGCTGTTTCAGGAGAATAAGGGGTTTGTTGCTACGAGACACTTTGCTCAAAGGCTCTTGCATGAATGAAACGGAGGATACGGAGCGCGTGTGAACGAGCCACAGTGTGTGCATGTGCACGTGCATATCCATGACTTCAGCTAACAAGCACAGATGGAAAGCTGAGCATCACATCACATAAACAGGCACGTGGAGATTTGAGAGCTCAGGGTAGGATTCCTGTATGGCACTGACACGAACCGACAGTCTTCTCCGTGCATGTCGTGCCACTGATGTTGGGGTTGAGGGAGGAAGCACAGGTGCCCAGCTGAGCCTAGCTGCATGTTTTCCGTGCAGTGTTTGGAAGACTTTAACTTAGCTCTTGTGCTCTGTGGGGGGCAAATGTAAGAAGAGCAAACCGCTTGGCTCGAAAGATGCTTGCAGGAAGATTCTTGTGCTATTCAGTGACATTATTGAGTGGCAGAATGACTTTCACTATTGAACTTCTGAGGGATCAAAAAGAGACATTGCAGCTGTGTAGGACACCAGTGAGTTTTGCAAAGTATCTCTCAAATGGACAATGAAATAAACAGTTTCCTTTACTTTCTTTTTGTAAAGACTTCTTCATCCTTATTACACTCCGTACTTCCTGGTAGTTTCACACTAGCCTCCTCTCCTGCTTTGGTTAGTGGCTACACACATAGGGAGAAAACACTGTGGTCTTTCTTACCTCTTTGGCCAGAATCTCACTGCGCTTGCAGTGCCCTTGATAAAGAGGGGATGTACACTCTCAGGAAGCATGTGTGGAGCAGGTGGGTTTTCTGCAAGTGTCTGTCCCTCTCTTAAGGCTGTATTTGAATAAGTTTTAAATCTGGACTGCGGCTTAGCATCTCTCCTGTGTGCTCCATTCACAGGAACCACCTGGAGACCCTGCCCGAGTGGGTATGTGACAGCAGAAAGCTGGAGGTGTTGGACGTTGGCCACAACCAGATTCGCGAGCTGCCTACCCGGTGAGTCCTGCCGACGGAGCGGTGCAACGTGGAGCGGGATGAGCAGTTCGGAATCATTGCTGACTCAATGTTTGGCTTGTTCCTGTGGCAGGCAGGCCCGTTTTATCTTTTGTTTGATTTTATTTTTACTTCGTGGGGTGTCATCATGCCACACGCTTCCGCGCGGCCTTTCTTCTCTGGCTTTCATGCAGAGGAAACAGTGCCTTTGAATTTCAAATGAAGTTCTGAAGCTCTTCACGCCACCGTTCGGAGAGGAAAGTGCTTCATTTTTAATATTGAATATTAAATATTTACAGCTGTAACTTGGCATGACACTTCAGAGATGCAGAAGTTAAAACTTATTTCTGGTTCCGTGGTGCCTAGAGACTCGAGATCACAGCCCTGTCTGTCTGAGTATTGGGTGAGAAAAAGAGTTAAAAGGAGAGGGTAAAGCCCCATAAAGCAAGTAAGCTTCTGCAAGTACAGCAAATGCCTTCACTTCAAAGACGGCTCATTTTTCCAGGAATTTAAACTTAAAATTGGATACAAGTAATAGGAAACCAGTGAGCAAAGAGGAAAGATTTTAAATAGGGTCCAAATTAAATTATGAATGGCTTTTTTTTTTTTTTTTCTAGAGGCCCAGTCCAGGGGAGTATACTGGTCAGGTGATGGTTTTGAGGATTTGTGGGTGCCCAGTTTCCCCTGCAGAGAACTGTTGTGCTTCAACATGGGTGTTGTGGAAGCAGGAGAGCATCACCAGGCAGGAAGGATGAAATCATATGGAGTTATGCAGAGCCATAGCAAATTCTGACCAGCTAGTGCATGATGACATTAAATGTCTGCCTTACCTGGCTGCAAACCACTGTAGGAGGTCAGAAAGCAAGAAGGTAGTTGTGTCTGGCTCAGATGAAAGAGAAATGTGGTGAAAGCTGGTGATGAGAGTGTTGGGAACGGGAGGAGAATGGATTGCAGAAGCGTAGCCAGAAAAGGACATTAGTAGGTACACTGGGTGAGCTAACAGGCTAACGTGCCCGTTATTAAATCAGTCTTCTCTTGCCATGCAAAGTGAAACAGCATCTACTACAAAGTTCATTTGCTTTCCATTTGCACTTCATAACAGCAAGGACTATCAAAGCGGACCGGATATCTTTGGGAGATTAATGATTAGCTGAAATTAGGTACAGTCAACATCCCACTTGTCTCTCCTGCCATCTTATCTTTAACCCCAGGAAATGGCTTATCTTTGAAAGTTCTTCTTTGTAGAACGTGCCTAGATAACTTAGCTCCTAATAAGTCAGTTCAGTTTAGAGCCCAGTTCAAAACCCTGGCTTTGATCATCCATTAATCTTTCGGGGAATCTGGGTCTGAGGTCACGTACAGATGCTGGGGGTTTCAAGTACTACTGCCCAGAAGGCAGTAGTTCATGTGCACTGCTGCTTGCTGCTGGTTGGTACAAAGCAGCCTTCTGAAAAGCTGTGAGGTAGGTGAACAGCTCTCCTAACCACACACCTCCAAGCCTTGGCTGCCCAAGGGTTTCCCAGAAGGGTGAGGGTCACATCTAATCAAAGCAAATGGCAACTGATGCCTCTGGTAGCAGGAAAACAATCCTTGAAGCCAAGCAGTTGGATCAATTGAGTTTCAGGAGCATTGCCCCAATTAAAGAAGATGGGAACTGTGTACGCTGTTGGGCTGTTGTAATAGAGCCATCTGTGCTTTAAAAGTACTGAAAAATGGAAAAAGGGGATTTATATATCAGCTACACAGGACAAACTGATTCTTATAACACGAGCATTGCCAGAGGTTTCACAAACAAAATAAAACACTTCTTGAAAAGACCTTGTGGCCACTAACCAAGAGATGTCTGCGTATGTATTTTTGTTCCTGTATTTATTGACAAATACAACAGATCTGTTTGTATTCAACATTATGATCTCTGGAAGCATTGCTTGCTAAAGACACTGCTTGAACGTGCCCACCATGCCTTATTTCCTCAGCAGAAGCTAATGCGGAGCAGCTTACTTGCCCTCGGGAATTTCTTGATTCCATCAAAACATTCTCTGGGAGTCGAGCGAATGGTTAAGCTGCCCGGAGGGAAGAGCAACCCTGGCTCCACCCAATCTTGGAGCCCTGATGTCCCAGGCTCCTCAGGAGCTTGCTTGGTGGGATGCTGCTGGTTGGAGCTCTCCCTCGGGAGCCCAGTTCCTTTAGTCCTTTTGTAGCTTGGGGAACCAGGCCAGGGGAGGAAGAAGAGAGAAGAAAAAGAAAAGGAAAAGCCTGGAGCTCTTCTGAACTATTCCCAAAATACCTTCCCATTGAGAAGTTAGTTGTTCACAGTTTTCCCTGTCCTTTGAGTTCAAAACCAAGGTGCCTCCCAATCAAAAAAAATGAAAGGCACCACCAAATGTGCTCGTGTTTTGGCAGGCGCTGTCACCCAACTCTGCGTACAACACTGGGTGGCTTTCGCACACACCGGTCTTGATTAAGAAAGGAAAAGAACAGGAAAACACGCTCATACCTCTAGGATGCTTTCAAATACAAGTGAAGTGACAGCCAAGCATCGAAATGCTGCGAGGACGTTCAGTGTGCAGGGGCGCAGTGCAGAGCCCGCTGCGTGGGGCCGCCGCCGGCCGCTTGCCTCTGGCTGCCGTAACTGTTAGCCCTGGTGCACAGATGCAGGTGTATCCATCACGGGGAGAGCCCCGCACGCTGTACTGCTTACTCTGGCACCAGAGTCCCGTGCCCTGCCGTGTTCCTGCAGCTTCTCCCTGGCGGCTGCAGGGAAGAGGCCGGGCTGGCTGTGTGTGTACATGGGTTGTCCTTGTGACAGAGGGAAGGAGGTTTCTCCCATAGTGCTGAGTAATTTGAACATCTCTGATTGAAGCAGGTCAGCATTAAATGCTGCTATAGTGAGAATGTGGAGCAGGTGCCAGGGAATACATTTTTTTTATTTACTGAAAATATTTGCTGCCCAAAATCGAGACTTGCTCCCTTTTGTTTGTGATCCTTAGGTCCAGAGTTTGAAGTCCTTATCAACTTGTTTATACCGTGAATTTTAGCTTTTCTGTTTGATCAGAACAGCAGTTTGTTCTTTTCTCCTTACGCTGCCTCCCCTCCCCAAGAAGTGGGGCAGGAGGATGGGGCTCTAGGTCATCTCTTGTTTGTAAAAGCTCAAGAAAACCAAGCGGATTAGGTGAATTTCGTTCACTGCAGAGCGGGGAGGGAGGCTTTATGTTAGCCTGGTATTAGTGAGAAGGGGAAAAGGGGGTGAGGAGAAGTGCTGGATTATGAGTCAGCACATGATGAGCAAGGGAGAATGAAGTTTATGGAGTGGCTGGTGGTTTCATCCGTGCCTTTTAAACCCTCCTGTTAGCTGGAAGGGTCCTACAAGTGCAGTTTTCCTCAGCCGTTGTTAGCAATTATCCACCATCGTGCTTCTATATTCATGGCTCGTGCAGTGCAAGTGAGATAACCCTTTCTCACTGCTTTCACTCTTTAATCATCCTTAAATCTCCCTCCTAGTCTCTGAACATTCATCCTTTCTAAGAGGTTGGTGGAGAGTGGGAAGATGTGCTCAGATCTGTGCGTAATTAATACCATGTCTGCTAATCAGTTGGCTGAATCACTTTCCTGCAACGAGCTGTGATATCTCACCTAAAAATTGTCAAACCTCTTTTTTTTTTTTTCCCAGTGTAATTTTTTTTTCTTGTTTTTTGTGCTTTTATTTCTCTTAGGCTGTTTTACAACAGCAGCTTGCGGAAGCTGCTGGCTGGACATAACTTGCTAGGAAGGCTACCGGATCGGCTCGAACGAATGCAAGTAGAGGTCCTGGACGTGCAGCACAACCAGCTCCTTGAGCTGCCATCTAACCTGCTTCTGAAAGCAGACAGGTAAATATAAAGCCACCTTGGTGTCAGCTTGTACGTAAGGAACCTGGCCTTGTGCTGGATTTCCCTAGCTCCAAGGAGCAGCTGTGGGTAATCCAAGGTTCCCCTCGTTTGAGAACGGCCAAGCCTTCAGTGAGATGTGAGCAGATGTCTGCCCAACTCGCCAAGACAGAGAATCTTTTTATTCTGGTTTTTCTCCCTTATATGGTTGCTTTTTTCCCCCCACCAAGCTCCTGCTGTACACCTACTTGTGAGATCTCGCTGTAAAGTGAAGCCCGTACTATTTTCTGCTCCATACGCTGAGATGGGTTAGTGGCAGTTTCCTTAAATACGTATTTTAGCCTGTCTGATGGAGTGTGAAAGCTTTTTTTCCTCTCAATCACAGGCTAGAACTTACTTAAACCTTTCAAACAAAGCTTCCCCTGCCCTTGCTTTGTGGAAATGTTATGCCTTTCACGTATGCGTCACTAATTCGCCTGGTGTCATCACTGCAGCTGATTTCTGTCTTCTCATTTCTGTACTGCTGGTCTTCAAAAATCTTTTGAGCCTTCATAATCTTCCTTCCTGGATATCAACATCCCCTGCAAGGTGGCTCTGGTACCGGTGGCCTGTGATAACTGGCAGCGGCTGCTGGCCTAGTCTGGGGCTGGTCTCGCCTCGCTTGGTGCCGCTGCTCCTGGTACCTCTGTGCTTCTGCGAGTGGTCGCGGGGCCCCCGGGCGCGCGGGGCACCCCTAAGCGCGGGGCTTAGCGGGCAGGGCGGCTGCCCGAGCTGTGCCCAGAGGCGCGGGCAGCGCGGGGCCTGCCGGGGCGCAGGAGCAGCGGGAAGGCCGCGGTGCCGGCCCCGCGTCGCGCTGCTCGCAGGCCCCGCGGAGTCTGCGACGCGCAGCGCTCGCGGCGCCGTGGGGCGCCCAAGGGGCTGGAGGCGTTTCCAAACAAGCTCTTGCCCTGACTGACCCCTGAGCAGTGGCGTTTCTAGGACATTGTCTTTTAGGTTAAAAATTGTAAGGCAAAGGATGAATGCTACTGCTATGGGAGGCTTTAGTTTTGGTAGCTAGCATGGCACTCCAGTCTTTAAGCAAACCTTGAGATGCTTCTCTTTATATTCTTTCCCCTTGAATACTACTACTACTTATCTTTCTATATTCAGCCTTGGAACAACCTCCAACCTCTTTTGGAACAAATCAATTGATAGCAAAGTTATTCTGATGTTAGTTTATTGTTATTTGAGACTTGACATAAAAGAATAGGCAAAACAAGGAATCTTGACAATGCTCTGGTGGTAATTGTGATCAGTTATAATATTTTTATATAGAAGCAGTGAAGTTAATAGGCAGTTCATTTGGCAAAATACTTCTCATCACTTAAAGCAGCTGTAATGGTCTTGTGGATGACATTTCAAACTATTGTATGTTAAATTGTGTGAACTTCAGAAAGGTAAAGCTTGTAAAAAGCTCCCTTCACAGGAGGTTACAAGATTAGGTCATTTAACAAATAACACTGTTTACAGCTCCTAAGTTGAGATTCCCATATGTTAAATTGGAACAAAAGCTCTTGGTTTCAGTAAGCTATATGCATTTTTAAAAGCAAGAGGAGAACTACTATATTAAATTAGACTCACAGGTTGTAGGTCTAGAATGAGATTAGTGCCATTTGGCAGCGAGGTAGGAGCTGCAGAGGATTTGTTATATTCCAGCTCGCCTTTTCAAACCGAGCCACAGAGCTGCAGGCGCTTTCATCTTCGGAGACATAGAAATAAATGCAGGCTGACTTGGGGGAGCTTTCCAGGTGCTTGCCAAGTATATGCTGCAGAAATTAAAAGATGCAGAGTAAGAGCATTACGTGGTCGCCCCAGACTTTGGGCTTTGCCCCTATGCTGCTTTGTGGCAGTGTGGGGAGGGCTGCAGAAGGGCCCAGGAGTCACATGCTGGGAGATGAACCCATCCTATCCAGCCTGGTGCCACATCTCCCGGTGCTCCAGGAGAGCAGCTGCTTTCTGCTTTTCCCTTTGGTTTCCCCTTACTGCTCTGGGGGCCTTGGCTGTGCAGTGTCTGCTTGGGGTGCACGTCGCTGAGCCGGTGACAACCATGAAGGAAGGACACTGATGTGCAGATAGGCACAGCCTGAGGGCTTTCGTTTGGAGTTTGCTGCAGGAAATATCTTTGCGTTTTTTCACCTCGTGTTTGCATCTGTCAGCAGCTGAGTATCAGCAGAAATGAGCGCGGGCCGGGGAAAGGTGTTTGGGGTTTTGTTGTCCTTTGTGAGAGAAGAGACAAAAGTGGAAGGGCACCGTTTGGAAGACGTTCCCTGGGAAGCACAGCCTGCAGTGGCAGAGCTGTTGGGAGAGCTGGGTTCCCCCGGGCTCTGCAGTGTGTGCTCTTGCACAGAACCCTCTACCTCACAGAGCTTCCATCTCTCCCCATACCCTCTGGAGTCTGGGAAGATGAGTTTGGTTTTTGGAAAGGAATGCAGGTCCTTGCAGGTGACAGATGATGCCTTGTCTCCATACAAAGCTTCATGCTGTGAATTATAAACACCTTCTCCTTCGCAGTCCTGGGCATTTGGAGAAGCGGGTCTGAAGCTTTGACATCCAGAACACCTAAAGCAGACCAGGAGGGGAATCAGCACATTGGCACAGCCAGAGGGACATCACTTTCACCAATAGAAAGGGAAAAATTCCTCAAAAAAACCCTCTGTCTTCAGAGTAGAGTCCGTGGACATCAGTTTTCTCCATTAATCCTTCAAACATACAGAAAGGACTAAGCAGGCAGGTTTAATTCTCTACCAAAAAATATAATTTAAAAATATTGTGAGTCGGTCCCATTTTTAATTAATTTTCTGTTTCTGAATCTTAGTAGAGGAGAAACTAAGGGCTGATCTAGAAAACATTCCCCTGGCCAGGGCAGAATTTGGTCCTGTTTATTCCGCTGGGAGGTGCGCGTGTCTAGGTCATGGCAGGGTGGGACTTTGGTGGCGGGATGAGCAGCCCCGGGGCGCCCGGATGATCCGCTCGTTTCTCGCCGCCAGCTCGAGCCGCGAGTCCGTGCAAGTGCTCGGGGCCAGCGGGAGGCTCCCCAGCGGGGCCTCCTTGTCCCTGTCCTGGCGCCCCGGCCTTCCTGCAGCCCTAGTCTCTGTCCTTCCTTCGCTGTGATGGCAGGTACCCCTCTCTCTGCCCAGTTTCTAATACAGACTTCCTGCTGTCTTCTTTGAGCAACTTGCAGCCAACTACAGTTCTATACCGTAGAAGTAGTTCAGTAATTTTTTTTTTAATAGTATAGGTGAAAGTTTTAGTTAAGAGTAATAGAAATGCAGTGTTTGTGGTCAGGAGGAGTCAAAAAAATGGATACATAGAGATAAAGGTTGTGGTTTTGCCTCTTACCTAAGTTTCCTTCTGAATTAGCATGAATGTCTTGAGCACAGCCAGACCCTTAATCAGCCTTTGAGCTTTTGAAAGTAGTTGCAGGGTGAAGGTCTGTAGCTGTGATTTCCATGAATTAAATATACATCTTTCTGTTAGTCTGTAGTATCTGGAAGTGGTCAAGCACGGTGGCCAAGGCACTGCTGGCTATTAAAAATGTGTCCTCTGGATGCTTTTCTGCATCATTTTTGTTTTTAGCTCTGTTTGGCTCTTCTTGTCTGGTTTGTCTGTTGCTGTTGTTGTGTTGTGTTGCTTTGTTTTTGGTGGAGTTATGGCAGGTCACCCCATGGCTCTCACAAACAGCCTGCTCTCGCTGTGTGCCGTTTCCATCTGCGGTGGCTGGCTCCGGGGGTAAGTGTTCAACAGGATTATGGATGTAACAGGAGAGAGGAAAGAAGTTCAAAAGAGCGCAGAGAGCCGTGTGAGTGCTTGCTGCACACATTGCACTTGCAGGCATACTTGGCTTCATTTGTACACTTGCTTTTGCATTGCTGGCAGGTTGGGGTTTGCAAGGAGATGCTTTAGGAACTGGGAAAGCCCAGTGAATAGAACAGTTGAAGATAGGTTAGAAATTAAGAGCTGGGGAAGCAGCCCGTCAACGAGGAGATTTGCTTGAATGTTTCCATCCTCATCTAAAGGAGCCGGCATACCAGCTTCACAGGGACGGGCAAAAATGTCTTGGTTTTCCCCTCACACATGCTTATCTTACAGGTTTTCTCTGAGATCTCGCTCACTTGCTGCTGCAGTTATGAATTCTTTTAGGATAAAACAATCGGAACTTGAGGGTCCATCTCTGCAGACGGGATTTTAGAAAACACTTTGCATTTGCTTGGCCCTGTGCTGCAGGAGACATTGGGGCATGGGCTGAACTGCTGGAGATCTCCATTTCTCTGTGCATTCTATTTTTGCATCTACAGGAGTCTTTCCAAGTCTCTCCATGCTTTCAGGCCAAGCACAATGGCTTTGACTTTCTGCTGCTGCTTCACTGTTGTCTGTTTCACTGGATTGCCTCTGTTGTTTGCTCTGATGTTACCCATTCCTGGGTGTTTTTCCAAGGTGGCTACCTCAGAAAAAGGCAGAGAGATGTGTCAATGCTGTTTAAGTAGAGATCTAAGGACTGTCCTTGTTTAGCCTTTGTATACACTGCATATACATGTTGTCTTTTGTATCTACAGTGAGCAGGCGTCAGTCTCAAAGGCACCTTTTGAATCCTTTTGCTGCTCCGCTCTCTCAAGAGAAGATTTTCTTCCTCTGCTTTTCAAAGCTAAAATTTGCTTCAGAGCCCTTATTTAAATAGTGAATGCATGGGAATGCTCCCTGCATATTGGGTGTTCTAGATTCAAATAGATTCATTTTCCTGATTCTAGTATATTTTGGGGCCAGTCATTTCCTTTCCCACCTCCCAAACCTCAGAGAAGTTAAATCTATCAATAGATTGTACTTTAATACCACATAGTAGTGAAGGTGGCTGATTCCAGCCAGAGTTCAAGGCATATATTATTACCTCAGAGGAGAGTTTGTGCCTTGTCAAAGCTGAAGCATTCTGGCATCTCCCTACCAGTGCCTTAGCTCTCCTTAATCCCAGCACTCCTTCAGCACTTGTTAATTCATGCTTCCCTCACGATATTCTGCTCGGGAGTGTGTGAGGGCTGTTGGATGCGGCGTTCTCTGATGCCGTGCTTTTTTCATGAGCTTGTGCTATAGCGTGTGGGTGGAATTGGAAAGGGAAACAATTTCGGATGGAGCTTTAATACTTGACATTCTGTTTCCATCTGATCAGCAATATGAGTGGGATATCTTCAAGGAACATGGATCTGTTTTTAAGGCCCAAGTGCTGGAGAACCAGGCACACTTGTGCCCAAGTGAATTTCCATCCTCTGGAGGGCACTTGTAGGATCTGCCACCCTGCACGCGGAGGAAGAAACACAGGAGAGGAAGCAGCCTGGGGGAGGACTTCTGCTTTAAAGCAGCTTGAGGGCAAACCTCAGGGTCAAGTGCAGATTTTCTCAGATATGAGATTCTAGCATTGAATTAACAAAGCTTTATGCAGCAGCAAACTGCTGCCTCGTTCTCCTCTCTGTCCAAGAAGACTGTGGCTGTGCTCCTTTTTAATCCAGAGCCTACATTGAAAGAATTTATTGTCTGGTAATTCTTTTTCTTACCATTGTAATGTAGCAGCTTATCAAAAACGCCATGGAGAGAAGCAACCTATTCTTTCCTGAGGAGTTTTAGTTCAGCTGAGGTGCTGTCAGCCCCCGAGGTTATCCTGAAGCGGGATGCGAGGGCTCCGCAGCCGTGCGGAGTGTGGGGGGAGGCCAGACACCCCATCCCGCTACCCACGGGATTCCCCTCGGAAACAGTGCAAAGTGCTGCTACAGCAGCAGTTCCTGAAGGGAAAAGTGGGAATATTGGGAGGATGCCTGAGCCGGGGGCGACTCTCCTCTTTTCCCTTTGAACAGTGTATATATCGGAAGGGGTTTTGTTTGTTTGGGGCCTTGGGGGACAAGAAAAGGCAGAATCTCAACCACTTCAAAGAGCGGTGAAGGAGCAGTTTGAGATTTCTTGCTGTCTCCCGTTGATGTTGGAATTTTATGGAAAAAAAAAACAGATTTTGTTAGATTTGGTTTTCTTTTGAATTTAAAGTGGCTTCAGTATATGACATTTTATCAGTTTGGGCTCTATCAGAGCACTCTGCTTCCTTACCGAAGCTTTTGCTTTGGGCTAGCCCTGCTCAAGCGAGCCTGCTCGAGTGGTTCTGGGCGTGAGGAACCTCACGGCTGTTGGGCGCCGCTGCAGCTTCTCTGCTCCGCTTGGCTGGTAAAGGAAGGTGGCTGTGAAACACCCCAGGCTTGGTTGTTTCTGCCGCAGCCTGCAGGACCATTTGTAAGAATACAGATTCCCCGTCAAGGTGGAATATGTCCGTTCCTGGGAGATTTTTTACTGGCACCTCCTCATCCCTGATGTCACCCTATGAATGTCTGCTCTTCCCGGAAGGCCATACAAGGAGATGGGCCTCCTGTCCTACCTAATCTACCCAAAATGGTGTTGGAGCAGCTGGTGCTTATTTCCAGGTTGGGAATTCCCTGAGGAGAGTGTCAAGAGAGTGTCTTGAGACTGAGAAGGAACCTCTGTCAAATACTTCTATTGACTGAGCTGTGGTAGTGTTGGATTACAAGACAGATTTTAAAGTGGGAACTCCTTAAACCCTTCCAGGTTATGCTGAAAGCTGTCATTTTGTATTGATTAGCACAAAAATACTGTGGCTTTGATATTAATCCCAGTGCCTTTCTTGTGGGAGAGGGCAGGCTGCCATGCACACTGGAATGCGCTTGCCAAAGCCCTGGCTGTCTGCACTCTAGCTATAGGGGTGCTTGCTGGTGCTTAATAAAGCAGGGGCCCTATTGATGTGGTAAGAATCATGGAATCCTTAAGGTTGAAAGGGACCTCCAGAGGTCATCCAGTCCAACCCCGCTGCTCATGCAGGGACGCCCAGAGCACAGGGACAACCAGGGCACAGGGTGGCATCTAAGCGGGTTTGGAAGATCTCCAAAGAAGGAGACTCCACAACCTCCCTGGGCAGCCTCTGCCAGGGCTCTGGCACCTTCACCGTTAAGAAATTTTTCCTTATGTTCCTGTGGAACTTTTGGTGCCTCAGTTTGTGGCCGTTTCCTCTAGTCCTGTCGCTGGCCACCACTGAAAAGAGGCCGGCCCCCTCCTCCTCACTGCCTCCCTTGGGGTATTTATAGACACTGGTCAGGGCCCCCCTCAGCCTCCTCTTCTCCAGGCTGAACAGACCCAGCTCCCTCAGCCTTAATTAAGCTTTTACTTAACACCCCAACTTTGAGCTTCGTGGGTTTAGGGGTTCCCCAAGGGGTGAACCGAACGGCATCTTTTTAGAAGAACCCATTTTCAAACATTTGCCCTGGCTCGTTCCATTTTCCCCCTGTACTGATCTGCCCCTCCTCTTGAGAGCTGTGCCTCCCCTGTGAATAATGAATGAGCCTGAGGATTACTCTGTGTTTCCCTCCAGTAGACTCTGCCTGTGCAAGCCAGCTAACCTAGTTACGGCCCTGCGCAGCGCTGGGAGACTTGGGCTTTTATTGGGGATACTTTTCTTAATCCTTCAGCCTGCCATGTGGCTGCTGTGCAGCGTGCCTCACCCTGCTTGTAGCTGAGTTTCAACACGCTGCAACTCCTACAAATCCATTTCATTCATTAGGAAGTCGTAGAGGTCGGCGTGAGTGCCTGGGTCGGTGAAAAGGGGAAGGCCCTGTGGATGTTTATACCTTCCCCTGAAGATCCATCCATGGCAAGGGCTCGGGTGCCTTTTGTGTCCTGTTCCTAGTTGTGTAGCCTTCAGCCAGGTCGTTTCTGAGCCCCCTGCTTGGAAATGGCTCCGACAGTCGTTGCAGCTGCCCCTTCTCGTGAGGTGGCAGCAGCAGAGCGGTCTTCCAGAGAAGAATCACAGAATGTTCAAGGTTGGAAGGGGCCTCTAGAGATCATCTAGTCCAACCTTCCTGCTCCAGCAGGCCCACCCAGAGCAAGTGGCGCAGGGCGGCATCCAGGCGGGTTTGGAAGACTTCCAGAGAAGAAGGAGTGACCTGAGCCGCGCTGTGGTCCCTGCCGATGGGCACGCACGGCTTTGCCTCTGCACCACAAGCTCGCTTAGGGCCCCCCTTTGCCAAAGAGGGGCCGAAGGGAGAGAAAGATTCTATTTCTCTTTAAAAAGTCTTGGTCCTGCCACAGTTACAATACTAAACGATGTTTCCACTCCTGTGGCACCGCCTGTGTGAATCCCAGTCCACAGGCAGTGCCCTCCGTGTCGGGAAGGCAGCTCCGTGTTCGGGACAGTGTCGGCATCTCCGCCGCTCTCCCTCCCACCCGGAAAAAAGTCTCTGAGGGAGAGCAGAGGGCTGAATTTCTGCGCTGCTTCAGCGTGTGCTGCTTGTCACCCGTCTGCAGAAAGTGCTAGCAATGACACCTGCCCCTTGCGGGGCGGGAGAGCGCGTCGAGGAGCTGCACAGAAATCGGGCTTGCTTTCTGCCCCCTGCCGCAAGCGGCGGCCTGACTGTTCTTGATTTGAGGATTACTTCTGTCTCAGGTTAACGCCTGGAAGGGAAATTGCTCTTGGAATCTCAGCTTGCTGTGGTTGGTGCATCTCTAGTTGTTCTAATGTTCCAAAAAAATTCCTTCTCCAACTTTGTAGCTGTTTTTAGATCTGCAGGCTACGTGTAACCTAGCCAGTATTTAAAATATATATTTAAATTGTTGTTTGTTTTTTGTTTCTTTGCTTTTTTGTTTTTTTTTTCCCGTCCGCCGTGGCATTTTTAGTCACTTGAAGACCATTTGTGCGGATAGATTCAGCATTTCTTCTTTTTATTTTTTGTGGAATAAGTGGTGGAAGTGATTTGTTACTGCTCTAACCCTGTGAGGTTCATATACAGAAATGTTAGAGGTACTGAGTTTTTGATAAGTGGATAGAAAGATTTTGAAGTACTCCATTTGCTCGTGTTTGCTCATTTTAAAAATGCAATCAGAGGTTTTTTATATACTGCTAGACTTACAGTCTTTTTATCCATTGTGGTAATCTTCTTTCTGAGAATTGTTTTGCAAATATTTCATGTGTATGTACTTTACTTATATTTTAGCCAAAAGCTGCAGGATTTTTCTCTGAACTCCCTTTTGCAACTCTTTTGTTTTGCAGCCTGAGATTTCTTAATGCCTCAGCCAACAAACTGGAAATGCTTCCTCCAGCCACTCTTTCAGAAGAGACCCATAGCATCTTGCAGGAGTTGTATTTGACCAACAACAATCTCACAGATAAATGTGTACCCTTGTTAACTGGCCATCCACACCTAAAAATCTTGCACATGGCCTACAATCGCCTGCAGAGCTTCCCTGCAAGGTAAGCAGCTGGTTTTCTGCTGCTGGACCATTGGTGGGCAACCTAAACCATTTTTGCAGTGAGGACTAAACTGCCCAGAAATTTGGTGGCAGGGGTTGTTTTCAAAATGGTGATGTGCGGTGGTGGCTTTGTCTGTTGTGTCCTTTTGCATGTTACAGTGTCCTCTTACAATGCACAGATGGGTGAGCTGTGGTCCTGTGAAAAGGCCATACAATCCTGGAAAAGGAATACCCGTAGATAAAGACACATACTGTTTTTGTGTGACATTTTAGGTAGCGGGGCTTTGATACAAGGTGAGGGGAGGGAGATGGTTAAGTAAAATGTAGAGTGAGGGTTGATCAGGATACTGGAAGATAGTGGTGAAAAAGTGAGAGGAAGTGAGAAATTAGGGGTGAAAAAAGGTGGGGGGAAGAGAGGAGAAGAGGGAGTGAGGGAGCAGAGGGAATGTAAGGAAAATAGTTTTAAAAATAACATTAAAACAACATTGGCAACAGAAGCACAACTTTTTTTCCTCAAACTGTGTTAATATCTGACATGAAGAGAAGTGACAGGCGCTAATGTGAAAAGGGGTCTGAGTCTGCAATTTCATTTTGTTTAAATAATGAAAGCTACTGCTTTTATCATCTTTTTAAAATACAGCTTACATGCGTATTAAAAGAAGAATTCTCAAATCTTTTATTTTCACAGCAAAATGGCCAAGCTGGAGGAGCTGGAGGAAATCGATATTAGCGGGAACAAGCTGAAAGCCATTCCAACAACCATTATGAACTGCAGGCGCATGCACACGGTGATGGCTCACTCCAACTGCATTGAAGTCTTCCCAGAAGTCATGCAACTTCCTGAAATAAAGGTAAGGGAGCAATGTGCCTTGGAGGGAGCAAGTGGAGTGCTTGCTTTAGCAGTTGTGCTCTGCCTTCAGCACTCTTGTTGCTACAGGGAAGTGCCTTGCCAGGAACTGTGGGATTTGACTCCTGCTGTCTTGTCTATATTGACAGGAAAGAGCAAAATTCTTTCTCCTGTGCTGCCTCAGAGTGGACGGGGAAAAGACCCTGGGAATCTGATTATGTGCTCACCTTGGCCAGGAAGATGGGCCAGGAAGATTTGGCCCATCTTCTCTGCCAAATGGGTGTAATGGTTTTCCTGTGTCCGAGTCTGCAAGAGCTAGGCATAATCAACTCCTGCTGCCTTGGCTGTTTCCTGAAGGTCTGGAAATGGGCTTTGCTTAGAGTTTGTTTTTCAAACTACTGAAGCCCTAGAACAGGGTAGGCCAACCTTAGGGACAGAGATAAATTTCAAGAACATAAAATCTCTCTATATATACAAGCTCCTTTTATTTTCCTAATTGCAGTCGTATGTTGTACATCCAAGAGTGCTTAATTGATGTCTTGTATGTTCTTCCACAAGTAATTCTGAACTTCCTCCTTACACTCCTTCTCGTGGAAGGCATTCTGGCATTCCTTGCTCAACTGCTGAACAATACTGCTGCTGGCTTTTTGTGAATTAAATTGCTCCTTCACTCTGGGCTGTAATGCAGAATATTTTAGGTCTCGTGCTACTTCAGCAGGTGAGAAAGTGAGAGACAGTTGCTTCACAGTGTACTTATCCTGTGATAACACAGCAAAGGCTATCTGCAGTTCTCCGAGTTGGAGAAGTGGCTACGTGTTAGCGGAATCAAAACAGGCCAAGTGTCCTTCGCACACGCAGGGAAGCGGGAAGGCCGAGTTCCCAGCCCGGCAGTGCGAGTGTCTGCGTGGGCTTCAGCGCCCGGGTCGTGCCGAGCAGCAGGAGCAGTCGTGTCTGGTGTGGGACGGTCAGGACACGTAGAGATGAGCTCTGGGTTTAGCCAGGAAATCTCCAACAAACTTGTGGGATTTTGAGTACTCCTCCCTCTTTGGAACAATGGCCATAGGAAGCCAAGGGCCATTTAGAATCAATTACAAGTGAAGCTTTTTTTCTCTAGGAGGAAGAATTGGGGTGGGGGAGTGAGGTTCTGCACAGTAAACAGCTCTCCAAAAGCAGGAGGGTGGTTTTCAGCCCCCAAAGGAATGTAAATGTAAACATGCTGATGGGGAGCAAGGAACACAAGTTACATTTTCCTTGGGTTGTTGCTCTTTGAGAAAGCTGAATGTTCCATAGAGGCATCAGTATTTGAAGTGCCACTTTTTGGTACAATGCTTAGCAGAAAAATGCTCTCAAAGGACCTGGCGCTTCCTGCTTTTCGTAGTTCCTTGGGATTATTTAGTTCTCTGTGCCAGAACTGGCATGGAAGCCATTCATCATTTGGGACTGCCTGGAGAGGGGATAGTGTGAGTGACTCCACATTTTTGGAAGAAAAAGGCCTAATCTGTGTACAAGACTTGAGTAAAACAAGTCAAAATAGCTGCTGCAGGGGGAAGGGTCGTGTCTCACAGGGCTGCTTCTGGTCTCTGAGTCAAGGCCAGCGATTTCCAGTTTGGAGTGTGAGCTTGTGTGTGGAGGGGCTGCATCCAGCACTTAGCTTAAGTGGAGCTCGGCCTGAGGCATCTGAGAGCCTTGGAAAAGTGCCCGAGTCAGCTGAGAATTTGGTGCTGCTGGATGGATTTGGTAACTGTGTGAAATAAGTCCAGCTGTAGCAAAGTGTGTCACATCTGTGATTATGTCATACTCGGTGGTCAGTTTTAACGGGGGCGGCCTTCATATACCTCTCAAAGTTTCAAAGTTTCAAACTTTCTTAGTTTCAAACTGAGTTCAAACTCGAGGTTCTTGTGCAACTCTGTTGCCTGAGCTAATGGCAATCTTTCTTTCCCATTTAATTAGGCTGAGAGGCAGAGGTGTTAGATTTTGGGAGTCAGTGGAACTGAACTACCTACTGGAACAGGTAGTAGCAGCAGTTACTTTGCTCTCTGAAATAATTCCAGAAAGAAAACTACTATAAATGATGGTGTTTTGCGTTTAAAGTAACTCCAGGATTTCTTAACAAGGTCCCTACGGTGACACGATTGTCTCTAAGCAGATTTTACACACTGCAGTCATGGCTGTACTTCTTTGCAAGGTTTAAATTGCCATAAAAGACTTGGTCACAGGAGGAAAATGAACATGTTGCAGAGAGAAGACGAGTTTGGAGATGCTTGGTCAGTGTGTGTATGTGTGTGTAACCAGATTAACAAGTGCTTCATCCTCCTGCTTACGTGCTGGCCTTTTCCGCCCCATAACCTGTGGGTAGGAGCAGTGGAGCTGAAGTTCTCACCTGCCTTAGTGAGTCAGGTGGATGCCTCTAAGAAACCACATAATAAACATTCTTGAGTTCACATACTTAAAAACTGCTTTTAATTCTCCATATTAAAAAGCACATCAAGGATATGAAGTCAAGCAGTCAGATTTTCATAAGTGCCCTATAAATAAGGGTGGTCTGTGCACATTGGATCAACCTCTACAAATGAGGAAGGGAGCTGGAGACGGGCACACCTGGGCACTTGTCCCAGCACATTTTTCTTTGCAGTATTTTTAGCTGTTTTGAATTTTCAATAGAGCTCAGCAACCCAGTGTTTATTTTCCAGCCCAAAATCTGAATTTACTTTCCCCTGTTTTTAGTTTTGCTACAGCTGTGAGTAGCTAAATTGCTTCTAAATCATGGTGATCTTGCTGGGCTGCTGCAGTCAAAAATCATATGGAGGTTTCCTGTCACAATTTCTGGTCAAGATTGTTGTTTGTAGGAGCATTGCCTCCAGGGAAGTGAAGGAGGATCCAGCAGCAGCAGCATCTTAACGATGAAACTAGTAATCAGTGCTGCTGAGCCCACCTTCGGCCACAGCTGGAGGTGCCCGAAGCCCCTGGCAGCCATGGACAGAGCAGCTACAGAACTGTGTGTGTAGTGCAAGCAAAGAGTGAATATTCAAACATTAAAATCCTTGTCCTTAACTTGGCCTATGCCCGTGCAGAGTCCTGGAGGCAGTTGCAGTAATTATTCTTCTGCTGCTGCACGGGCTGGGCTAAGCCAGCCTCACATTAGAGTGGTGCATGAGGAAATTAGGATCCACTAGGAAATACGCGTTCCTGCCTGCCTGGGGAGGAGAATGGGACCTAAGTTCCCCATGGCTCTGCAGAAACTCCCTGTCAACCTCTTCCTCAAGCAGCACAATGAAACTCCAGAAATCATATCCTGATGAATGGGTTACAATCACCAGTGCCAGGGGACCAAGGGATCCGCTGCAGCACGTTGCTGCCTGCCACATGAGGGCACGTAATGAGAGCAATGGGATTTCCCATTTTGTGCTCCTCGTTTCTCCTCTATCAGATTTATAGTGGTGCCGAGGTGTTGAACACAGCAAGGGCTGCTGGCAGCTCTTTAATCTGAGAAGTAATTACTGGGTCTGTGCAAGCAGCAGGGAGTTGGGCACAAGAAGAAAACAGCTCCTTGGCATAGCTGCGCTCTGCGGTGTTGTTTGCATGACGGGTTTGAGTTTTGATTTCCTTATCAGGCTTGGATAACTGTGCCTGCAGTTTGCTCTGCATAGATACTGCGGCCTCCATATCAAGCAACCTTGGGATTCAAGATCTGGGTCAAAAATATGTATGCTGAATATATTTAATAAAGTATTGCGATTTTTCTGATTCACTTTGGGGAAGAAAGGGGGAATCGTTTAAACTGACTTCAGAAGAGAGGCTACTATGTCAGTGTCTTAGAAGCCCCAACTGTATTTTGTGTCTATTTTCTTAAGACTGGTAGCTGTTTTTATCAGCAACAGTTTGTTTCCTAAAACAGTGGTCTCTTAATGACACAGATGACCAGTGTATCCTCCTTACGAAGAGCAGACAAACTTGTGGGTTTTGTGACAGGATTGTGGCTGATCAGAAGTGGAAATGGAGCGAACGGTTGCAGGTGCCCCAGACGTCTGGGAGCATGGCCGAGTGCCTGAGGAAGGTTCTTTTGTAAGAACCACCCACGGAAATGAATCTTGGATCTTTGGATCTTTTGGTCCTGGGTCTTTGGTGCAGCCTTTGTTATTCGTGAGACGTGTAGTATTACATTTAATCAAAATTTGTCGATTCCTGATGGCAGCCGAATCCTCCTGCTTATTTGACCACTTTCCTTTGCAGTGTGTGGATCTGAGCTGCAATGAACTGAGTGAAATCACACTGCCTGAAAACCTGCCTCCCAAGCTGCAAGAGCTGGACCTGACTGGAAATCCCAGGCTAGCCTTGGACCACAAAAGCCTAGAGCTGCTCAAGTAAGTTAGCTTAAGAGTGGAGAGGGGACAGACTCCTGACATAAATACGTGACAAAACTGCAATACACAGAAATGTATTTCTCTTTAAGTAGCATGACTCCTGACAGAGGATCAGAGAGTAATAAATTGTATAGACAACTCGTAAGTTGATCAGGTATAACCACTATTGGAGTAATTTGACATCTCTTTTAATTCTGACACCAGATTTAATGAAAATATTGGGTTTATTTCACTACCGGGACATCAGTAACTTTTTAGTATTTATGTTTTTGCTCATATTTGTTGGAATAATCTCTTGGATCCTTTTTTGACACTGTTTCTCATTGCCTCTTCACATACTGCTATTTGTTGTCCTCCTCATACTTCTCTGTTTTTCCATCATTTATTTCATTTCCTGGTTACTTTGTACTGGGACCCTCTATTTCTTTTCCATCTGCCAGTTTATTTCCTGTCCTGCAACTAAGGTGTCATCCATGAGGGAAATTTAGGAAGCACCTTGTGCCTGTTTGGGTGCTCTCAAGAATGACTGAATTGCATCCCCATTAGGGATTGATTTTGGAGGTTTATGTACACATTCTTCCATAATGTGTCCTGAAACTATCGTACTGAACTGGATAATCTGTCTTGGGCCCTTCTTCTAGGATAGAAGGGAACAGAACCAGCTCTAAATTTTCTTCTAGGTCTGTTTAATCATTTAGTGAATGATTTGGGGGACTGTTGATGTGCTTAAAAAGGCTGAGCATTTGCTTCATGTAGCTCGTTCATCGATGGCTCACTGCACGCCAAAAAGCCTCCCGAAGCAGCAGTGTGTTGTGTTGCTGTGGTTCATAGGAAAAAGAGTGTCGAAAGCTACCTGAATTTGCTTCAACTTAAAGGAAAAGATCGGCTTTTAGGCGTGACAGGCAGATGAGGTAGGCAAGCCAGTCCTTGGCCTTAACTGGATCCCATGCCCAGTTGCACTACTGTGTGTTTTTAAGTCCTAAGCAGAAGAACATACAGTTGTACACTGTATATTTTCACTGGCATGATTTTTTTCTTTCTTCTTGCTTTTATTCTCTTTTTTAAAAGAAAACTTAAGGAATCTTGAGGACTTAGATTTCTTTTTTAAAGTCCTCAGGCCTATTCTCTTCCTTGCAAATATTCACTAGCCCTGGGCAGTTGTTTCAGGCCTCCTGGGAGCTTCTTAGTGGATGCACATGTTGGTGTGCTACACTGACTTCCACAGTGTGCTGCTGTACTTGAACTGAGGGGGGAGATGCTCCTTTGGCTCGGAGAAATCCTGTCATTTATGTTCCTCTCCTCTCTCCTCTCCCTTCCCCACATTATTCACATTTGTAGCTATTTATGGAGCATGTTTGGCTGTAAGGTGCCCTGGCCGCTGCTGTGTTAGCATCGAGAGACGCGACCGGGTGCGAGCGCCCTTGGGGCTGCCGGCGCAGGGTGTCTGAGGCCGCCAGATGCCGGCAGGCCCTGGTGTGCTCGGCCCGGCCGGGCGTTTGGGTGGCGGCAGGGAGCGCTCTCAGGGGCGCCCGGGCCTCCCTGCTGCGTCCTTTCCTACATGGCCACGCTCCAGGAAGGGCCGCGGTGCCGGGAGCTCGGGCAGCGCCCGAGGCGCTTGCGGCAACAGGGCCCGGCGGAGCTCTGCGCCGGCGGTGAAGGGTGTCAACAGGCAGGGCTGCTCTCCTTAAGCCTTGTGTTCCTGGAAATTCAGGCCATGCTGGCTGTAAATGGGGAGCGTGGAGGGCCGGGGCCCGAGCTAGAAGCCACCCTGTCAAACCAGGGAAGGCCGAAGGGCTGAGGTGCCTGCGCCGACGGGAGGCCGGGGACACCTCTTAGCAGGGGCAGGCACGTTGCTGGTCTGCAACTGCTGCCTGTTGTTGTGGAAAGCTGATCTCCGTGCTGCTGTTTCTAAAGGCATTTTTTTCCCCCTTAAGGGCTGATGTGGGTCATGCAGATTTCATCTGAATACAAGGAAAAGAAAGCAGAGACTTACTCAAAATGGGTGGGAGAGAAGCATGAGTTATAAAATGACTCTCCTGTTCCAGCTTTCATCAAGCTAGTGACAAATTAGCCCTGAATTCCTTCTGGCCGAGTGTGAAAAACACAGCAAAGGGGTGGGGGTAGGGGAAAGCAAAGCCACATAAGCCAAGCAGTGCAGCTGACCTCAGGGAGGCTCTGCTGCTTGCAGCTTTTCTGTTCCCTGTATGTGGACAGATAAAAGCAGCCACCCCGGTGTCCTGCTTTGTTCTACTCTATTAAGTGTAATACTGTGGTAGACCTAGAAGAAGAAAGCTGCTCTCTCCACGTTTTAAGCGAGATCCCACCAGCATGTTGTTCCAGTGCACCTTTCCCTTCTCCTTGCAGCAATATCCGCTGCTTCAAGATTGACCAGCCCTCGGCAGGAGATGCCTCAGGAGCTCCAGCAGTGTGGAGCCACGGTTACACAGAAGCATCAGGAGTCAAGAACAAGTAAGACCCAAGTGGTTTTTACATTTTTTTTTCCTACACAAGCATCCTAGCAGCTGCATGTCTCTCTGCTGATACAAAAAAACTCTTTTTTAAGTGAATGTTTTGGGAGATTTTGGACCTCAGAAGGGCAGAGGCCGTGCCATGACATGTATTTGTACCTTGGGTCCCTGCCTGGCTCTCAACTTTCTGCTTTGTTAGAGGAGTTGCCAAGATACAAGGGTAACAGACACATTTAGTCTTTGCAAGACTCCCAGTATTTGCAAGAGATCCAAATGTTTATTTTTCTCTTTGGAAACCTGCTTTGTCGTGAACTAAGATGTTTACCAGGCAAATCAGGGTGCTAAGGGAAAAGGTAGAATGGCCAAACTCCGAATATTCAGAATATGTGGAACTTGCATGACTAAGGTAACACTTGACAAATAACATAGTGGAGGTCTGCCTGTCTGGGTGTTGCTGGCTGTGTGAGGAGTCTTTCTTTGCTGTGTCAGTAACTTTTTTGAAGCCTTCTGCTACGCAGGTTTCCCTGGCAAATGCCAGTAGACCCCTTTACTTAGTCAAAATACAACAGCTAGCTAGTCACCACTGTGTCCCGTCATTAAGATTGCTTTGGGGGGGTAAGTGCAGGTTCAGTTGGCATTGCTCTGAGGATGCTTTTCCTCTTAAAACCTGCCTTTCTGCACGCGGCGCCGCGCTCGTTCCGCAGGCTGTGCGTGGCGGCGCTCTCGGCCAACAACTTCTGCGACAACCGCGAGGCCCTGTACGGCGTCTTCGACGGCGACCGCAATGTGGAGGTGCCCTACCTGCTGCAGTGCACCATGAGCGACGTCCTGGCCGAGGAGCTGCAGCGGACCAAGAACGAGGAGGAGTACATGATCAACACCTTCATCGTCATGCAGCGGTGAGCCGGCCCCCGCCCGCCCGCCTGCCTCGCTGCGGCGCTCCCGGCTGCAAACCTGCCCTTCCCCTGCTGAGGAAGAGCGGGAGAGGGGGGAAAACCCCACCGTGGTGCCCGGCAGCTGTGCTTTCTCTTGATTTTTGTTCTGTTTTTGTGGATATTGGTGGCTCTCCCTTCAGGTGTGTGGGGGGGAATCCTGCACTTCGCCACCCACCCAAACAGAATAAAAGAGCCTCACGATTCTTAAATGTTCGTGACGAAGCAGTGGGTGGAAGTTTTACTCTTTTTTTGCTATCTTCTTTAAGTCTTGCTGCTCTGAATGGGCAGCAGCCAAGGCAGCGGTGTGAATATCCTCATCATTTTTTAAAAAAAACTTCCTCACTACTGCAGCCTGCAAAGCCTGGGCTGGTCCCTCCTGTTTCTCTGTATTGATTCAGGCTATGTAAAGGCCACACAACTGTTTAAAACTTGCATTTTGACTCCTTCAACATGTCTATTTTGTATTATCTACGGTCTCATTTGACCGTAGAGGGAATATCACTTGAGCGAGGCCCAAGCGAAGCGATATGATAGCTCTGGCTGTAACAGTAGCCGTGCCTGGTGGTTTGGAACCAGTGTGTGTTTGAATGTGCTGCTCTTGTCAGAATAAGAAATTGTGCCTGGGGAAACACTGTTGAGTGAAGGAGGAGGAGGAAGGGAATCCAACAAAAGAGGAGAAGGAGGTCAGGGAAACAAAGGAGAGAGCAAACAAGCAGCCTAGAAACCCAGGAAATGGATCGAGTTAAAAGTAGCATCGCTTTGTCATTCGAGTGCTGCCTTTTTGAAGAGGAAAAAATAATAAAGTCCCAGTGCCCAGGAGCAGGGGCAGTAGGGTGGGAGTGACGCGTCCCAGCACCGGATGGAAGGGCCTCCTTCCCACGGCCGCTGGGGCCGGTGCCTCCGCTAGCGCCGCAGCAGGAGCGCTGAACACTCCCAGCCCCAGCAAACCCAGTGCTGGGAGCACTTGCCGGGGGTCTGCTCACTGCTAATGGAATTTCACAGGAATGCGGCATTTCTGCTAAACGTTTTGAGTTTTGTTTACTCTCTTTTAGTGTCTCAAGGCAAAATAAGCTAACCAGTCCTTTGGAGAGCCAGAAATAGTATTCATTCTAGCTGCGTTTAGCCATTCACTGAGGGCTACTGAGTGGTGCTCTGCAACATTCCTGGAGTGGTTTTTAATATTTTTTTTTAACTGAAGCTTGGGTACAAGTGTATTGGCACGCGAGCTCTCCTGCTGTCTGAACCCAGACTTCTTAGCTGCACTACCTGGTCTTAATGTAGTTTTAGCAGGCTCTCTAATTCACCTTTGAAATTACTGAAGGTGAAGGCACCTGCAAACAGTACTGGGAAGGATAAACATTTTCTCACAGTCCTGTTTAAATTCATCAAGTATAGCTAACAGAATGTGCATTCATTTCAATACTAATGACAGAGTTCGGGATTCTGAAACTTGGTTTACTTTTTTACTTGGTCCATAATGTGATTTTTTTATATGTGTGTGTTTTCTGGGTTTTGACTTTTTTCCATTTTTTTTTACTACTGTGAACGAGGCTTTATTTTTAAGAGCACAAGTGATAGGTTAGTAGCTGATGTGACAAATGAGACACATACCTTCTTAGAATAGCTAGCAGCTTAGCAGCTGTGCCTTATTGTTCATTTTTATCCTTCTTTCCCATAGATTTATCACAGAATCACAGAGGGGTTGATGTTGGAAGGGACCTCCAGAGATCACCTAGTCCAAGCCCCTGCTCCAGCAGGGACACCCAGAGCACGGGGCACAGGGCGGCATCCAGGCGGGTTGGGAAGATCTCCAGAGAAGGAGCCTCCACAGCCCCCCTGGGCAGCCTGTGCCAGGGCACTGGCACCGTAATACTCTACAGTTAGACAAACCACAAAATAGCGAGCCTCTAGCTTAGCTCTTTGCTTAAAAATGTTTTCTAAAGCTAAAGTTACATGTTAAAATGTGTAGCCTAGAAGCCAAAGCTGTGGCTCTTCTTAAGCTCTCCCTGAACTTATGTAACGGTCTTGGTGTTCCAGCACTTGAGCACTCCTCCTGACCTGACCCAAGCCCAGGCTTCCGAGCGACCTGCTCTCAGACCGAGGAGAGCAACGACCCTCTGTGATGAGGGTGGAGAGGCTGGGGTGCCCGCCTGCCCGTGGAAGCAGCGCCGCACTCTGCGAGCGCCCTGCCACGCACCCCTAGGGTCGCAGCCCTCGGGGAGACTTGGCTGGGTTTCTGCCAGGGAGCCAGTAGAGTTAATGCCCCAAGTGCTTGTGCTTGCAGAGCGGTGGTTGTTGCTCCATAGTACCCGTAACACGTGCTTTCCAATGAATGAACAATCTCTGTCTTGTTCAAATTCCAGGAAACTTGGAACAGCCGGACAAAAACTTGGAGGCTCTGCTGTCCTTTGCCACATAAAGCATGATCCCATGGACCCCGGTGGGTGCTTCACGCTAACCTCAGCAAACGTGGGGAAGTGCCAAACCATCCTCTGCCGGAATGGGAAGCCTCTGCCGCTGTCCAGGTGTTATGTGATGAGCTGTGAAGAAGAGCTGAAGAGGATCAAGCAGCACAAGGCCATTATCACAGAGGTCAGAGAGCTGTCGTGTTGAGGGAAGAAGGGTTGCTCCAAGTTGCAGCTTCCTTTGAGGGTAGTTGCACAGCAACGTGTAAAACTAGATGTCCGTGTTAGCACCTTCTGAGGGATGGTGGTAGCAGTTTGGATTCTAGAGTAGTTGTTTTTCCTTCAGGGTGGTTCCTGTTGGGTTGCGTGTGACTGCGAACGTGTTGTGTTGAAAGAGGGAAGCCGAGACCCTCCTCCTCGTTGGGAGAGGAATTGCTGTGTCAATGTGGTCGCAAAGAGCCCTCCCACCCCAAAGGGGCCCAGAGGATGAGAGGGCAGAAGCCAGGCTGCCCTTCCCGCAGGAAGCTCCCGGCTGGCTCTCGTTGCTGTCAGAGCCCATGAGCTCCCAGGGCTGTGGAGAGCCCCGAGGGAGAAGCCAGTGCTCGGACTGGGAGCCACGGAAAGGTTTCCTTCCTTGCCTGGATCCAGCAGGCAGCCCGTGAGCGCTGGGGGCCGGCCGCAGGCCCCGTGCGAGGGGAGCGAGGCTGCTCGCTCCCTCCTTGCCTTGCCTGGCGTGGCTCGTGCACAGGATAGGTACGGGGGGAGCAAGGGGCACAGAGGCGGCTGCCGAGCACACGTGTCGGGGGCGCGTGCGGAGCCCAGCACGTGCCTGGTCGTCTTGCCAGCAAGAGGTGACACTCAAACGTGAGGGGCTGGAAGGGAGGCGCTCTGCAGCAGAGCATTTGTCACCAGGGCTCTGTCGTCTCGTTGCTTCGCAGGGGAGAAGGGAGATTTCTGAGAAGAGTCTTAAGATGACTCACTGATTTCATGCCCTTTGATGCCCTGTCACTTCTGTCAGACTTCTAACGGGGAAGCTAACAAGCCAGCAAGATTTGTTTTCCTTCTGAATGGTTTTAAAGGGGAAGCTTTTTGAGTCTCGTTTCACGTTGCTGTGGCGCTTTGCTCCGTAAGGACCGCTGCTGTCACCAGCTGGAGCGGCGGCCAGGAGAGGCCCGCGCTGGCGGTTGGTCTCGAGCGCCCCGTGGGTGCAGCCGTGGGTGCCCCCGGGCTGGCGAGTGAGCACATTCCCCCTGCCAGGTGCTCGCTGCCTATTCCGGCAGCTCGGATCCGAGGCAGGACACGATCCAGGCACTTGGATATGTATGGGGTTCGCTGTTCAAATATGCCCATTTTTCATAGTGTTTTCCCTTCAGATACTAGCCCCCCTCTTGGAAATGTCATATCTAAGTGGGAGCATAGTAAGTAACTGGGGCATGTAAAACATTTCACTGCAGCTCAGCAGCCTGAGAGATGCAGACTTGCACTCTGCTGCAGTTGGCTTGCACACCCCATTTAGAGCCTCCTTCTAATGACCCTTAGCTCGCAAAGCGAGGTGCCGAGACGAAGCCCACGTTGTCACCGCCGCACGAGAAGGGTCACAGCCGAAGGACCTGCCGCCAAACCGAGCGGCTCCCTCGGTTGGCGTGATCTCGCTCTGCACGAAGGCACATCTCGTGGCAGGGCAGGGAGGGCCCGGTGTGACTCACTGGCAAACACGAGTCCAGCTGGCTCTCCCAGCTGCAGAGATAGGTAGATGGATGGGTGGATGGATGGACGGACGGATGACTCCTTGTTGCAGACCTGCACTGTGCTGCTCCGTGCACAGGTGATGCCTTTAGGCAAGGGAGGCTTAGCACAAGATCTGGAACCAGCCTGAGCTGTGCTCAGCCTCAGCCCTGTCCCTCTGCTCCTCCGTCCTCCCTGCTGCGTGTGGCCGTGTTTGGGCTGTGGCCGAAGCGGCCACCAAGCGAACGTGAGGCCGTGCAAGCGCCATGCGTGGCCTCATGGGCAAGGCCATGCAAGCTTGCCCGCCGTGTGCCCAATTTCCTGTCCTTTCTCCTTGCAGGACGGCAAAGTGAACGGTGTGACAGACTCCACGAGAATCTTGGGCTACACCTTCCTTCACCCGAGCGTCGTGCCGCGTCCTCACGTGCAGTCCATCACGCTGACCCCGCAGGACGAGTTCTTCATCCTGGGGAGCAAGGGCCTGTGGGAGAGCCTCTCCATGGAGGAGGCGGTGGAGGCGGTGAGGAACGTGCCCGACGCGCTGGCGGCCGCCAAGAAGCTGTGCACGCTGGCGCAGAGCTACGGCTGCAACGACAGCCTGAGCGCCGTGGTGGTGCAGCTCAACGTGTCGGAGGAGAGCTGCTGCTGCTGCGAGCTGGCCGGCGTGCCCCCGCCCAGCCCCGGCATCTTCGCGCCCTCCGTCAGCGTGGTCATCAAGGAGCGGCCGGCCGAGGCGCTCGCCATGCCCTCCTCCAGCAGCGGCGTCGCCTCCGAGATCAGCAGCGAGATCTCCACGTCGGAGATGAGCAGCGAGGTGGGCTCCACGGCCTCGGACGAGCCGCCGCCGGGCACGCTGAGCGAGAGCGGCGCCGCCTACGCCGGGGAGCCGCGCTGCTCGCTGCACCCCGTCTGCCTCTCGGGCTCCTTCCAGCGGCAGCTCTCCAGCGCCACCTTCTCCAGCGCCTTCTCCGACAACGGCCTCGACAGCGACGACGAGGAGCCCATCGAGGGCGTCTTCAGCAACGGCAGCCGCGTGGAGGTGGAGGTGGACATCCACTGCGGCCGCGCCAAGGAGAAGCAGCTCCTGCAGGCGCCCCCCGAGGCCAGCGACGAGGGCATCGTCATCAGTGCCAACGAGGAGGAGCCCGGCGCGCCCAGGAGAGCCGAGGGCTCCGCCACGGGCACCATGGGGCGCCGGCGGGGCAACGGCTCCGTGGCGCCGCACGAGCGGAGCCACAACCTCATCGAGGTGGCGGCAGACGCGCCGCTCAGGAAGACGGGCGGCTACTTCGCCGCTCCGGCGCAGCCCGATCCGGACGACCAGTTCATCATCCCCCCGGAGCTGGAGGAGGAGGTCAAGGAGATCATGAAGCAGCACCAGGAGCAGCAGCAGCAGCAGCAGCAGCGGCAGTACCAGGTGGAGCACGTGGCAGACTATTACGATACTCCGCTATGACCCTCCCTACGTCCTGCTCCGGAGCGAGCGAGGCTTGGGAGCGGGGCCCGCTGGGGCCGCCGTGCAGCAGGGCCCTCCTCCTCCTCCTCCTCTTCCTCCTCCTCCTCACACACGTCCCTTCCCCTGCCCCACCACTACAGAGACTGCAGCTTCTCCGTCTGTTAGGTTTAATATCCACTGACTTTCTTCTAGAGATGCTTTACCAGTAAGGTTTAAAATAGTTAACTTTCCCTTAACATATCAAGCGTTTAAAAAAAAAAAAGAAAGAAAACAAAAATACAAATAATGAAAAGGTTTAATATATTGCTGAGAAACAGATGATGATGTAATATTTTTTAAAATGGCTCGTTTGTTTTGTTTGTTTGAAAAGCAGGGCGGTAGCCAGTGCTAAATGATTTAAGTAATATTGTAATACTGTATTTCTTTGAGAGAAAAGGCTTTTTTTGGTCTTGAAAATGATAGACATTTGTAGAATATGGAGACTAACTCCTAGGAGTTGCTTTACTCTTTCAGGTGACTTAAGTCACTGAGATTCACTAATTTTCTCTGAGAGAACAGTTGATTGGGAAATTATTGTAAATAGCTCAGTGTTGTATAGTGATGCTTACTTGTTTTGTAGCCTTGGCATTAAGGACACAACCTGAACAACTCTTTTCTTAAGCGACTGTTTGGGCCATGGTCATCGGACATAGCGGGCAGAGTGACGGTGTACGAGGTAGCTAGCAATTAGATGGGATAGACCATTTAAAAAACAAAAAAAATCCTCTGGTCTCTTTCTTTTCCTTACTTTTACAGACACGTTTTGTGTTCCTTATTGCTGCCACAACCAGCATGATTGTATAGAGCTCATTTGCTGTAGAACATTTACATACCGAGAGTTATATTAAAGCAGAATGCACAAATGAACATGTCATAATTTTTGTTATAATAAATATGGAATTTACAGACGATGTCTGCTCTTGTGTCTGAGTCGCTGTGCAGCAGTTCTTCAGCAGCAGCTTGCTCTGGCTCACCACAGTGCTACCAGTGACACGGGGAAGGGATTTTCTTTTTCTGTTCTTTTAAATGTTCTTTTTTTTTTTTTTTACAATAATTGCAGGTATTTCTGTATATTTTCAGGCTTCTTAGTAAGTAAACTGCCCAGTCTTCTTTCAAAATACAGGATCTCCTTTAAAAGATCCTGGGCAAATCTTTGATGGAGGAATTTAACTATTTATTTATTTTCTTTCCTCATATTTCTTTCCAATAGTGCCAATTCGGCACTATTGATTTGCCCTTCTCCAGAGTATTGACTATGCTGGAAGACTGAAGAGGAACTGGGACCTCCCTCTGTTCCCTTGGGACTGAGTAACTGAAGGGAGAAATGATGAGGAGATAGTTCAGGCTAAGAAAAGGGAGAAGGAAAACACTGAATATGGAGAGAAGAGGGAAAATGTGAAGAGAAGGTGGAAAAGCAAACTTAACACTGCATGCATAAACTCAGATTTGGCTGAATGAATAAACCTGAGTTTAATAAGAGTGTGTGTGGGGGGGGAGTTTATTGCTTTTTTACTCAGGAACTAAATTGCATTTTTTGTGATTTTTACGGAAAAGGGGGCCACCATTTTTCAATGTTACCCCCAATCGACGTGTTACTCCTTAAAAAGTAAAACCAGTGTCTGATCCGAGCAGGGCCTTGCTCCTGCTTTGCCTTCAGCCCACATTTTGTGGCAGGACCGTGACAACAGGCCGCTGTCTGTGGCCTTTCCCGAGAGGAAGTGCCCAGGACTGGGGGTGACCGCCTCTAGTGAGCTCCCGAGCTGCTTTTCCTCACGGAGCAATGGAAACAACTGGCGGAAGAGGAGCAAACGCAGCAGTACGGGGAAGGGTTCGTGGCGTTGCCTGCTCTGGAGGCGCTGGGAACCGCAGTGTTCATCCACGAGCAGGGCCCGCCGCGGCTGCAGGAGCATTGCACTGGACTGCACGCTCACCTTCAAAACGCCCCTCTTCCTTTTTAAAGGCAGCTCGTTAAATAATGCATCGAAACAAAGTAGGTGTATGGTTTATTGCCAAGCAGCACCGGGCCTGGGATGCTTTTTTGCCTTCTGATGCTCGAGTCTGAAGGTGCTAATTGGCAAGGACACGACCAAGGCTCAGGCAGGTGATGACAAGTTCAGGGTTTCTCGAGCAGCTTAGAAAATTCTCTGCACCTTAAAAAGTGGAGATTTCCTTCTCTGGAGGATCCACTGCTCCCAGAGCAGTAACGCTGCTCCTGCTCCCTGTGCTGCTCCTTGTGATCTGCTTTCCTGGGAGAGGAATGAAGAGCAGGCCGGAGAGTGCGGGGGCCCTTTCATAGGAGCCCAGCTCCAGCCTGGCAGCCTCCTGAACTCGCATTTCCCTAGGGTGACAAGGGAGGCGCGTGGGCTTTGTACAAAGTGTCTCCTCTCCTCATTTGGAGGACAAATTCAAGAGCTGGCCAGGCTGCCCCATTCGCTGCTTACAGCCAAACAATTCTGTTTCTGTCCTGCCCTTGCCTTGAAGCAGAAATTGCTGGTCAAAACCAACGTGCTGCTTTCAGCAAGCACCTTTTGAAGCTGCGATCTGGAGACAGGGCTTTTACAGCATTCAAGTGATGGGATTTGGGCTGAAGAATTTACCTCTGGAGTTCTGGTCTGTCTGTAGAAGACAGATTTGCATTAAATGGCCTGTGTGTCTTAACGAGTCATCATGCAAAGAACTGAAGTGTTCGTAGGGTCTTTTCCATCCCTCTGCTGACTTTCCACAACACGCTGAGCTGGATGGGTTGGCTGCCTGGGAACAGCTTGGGAGAGTGCAACGTTCCTTTTTAAACAAGGACTTTAAACTGGAACATGGAAACCAGACAGTAGTTTTTGTAGCTTGTGACTCTTGGAGGCATCTCTCATCTTTTTTAAAACAGGGTTAGTATGTTCTTGACTTGTGGGCACTGGAGCTACAGTCGTCGACTTCGTTTTTGTGTGTTCCTACCATTCACAAATGGACAGCTAAGCTCCCAGTGTATTTCACGTGCCTTGGACCAGTCGGGAGCTGCCTAACACGGAGAAACGCATTTGCTGGCGGTACCTGGCAGCTGTAGCAGGGGCAGAGGTTGGGGGTGAAGGAAGAGGAAGGCTGGGACCTGGAGGAGAAGCAGAAGCTCCTCATCCTCCCACCCCTGCGTCCCTGAAACCTGCCGAGAGCCACAGCCGAGATGGGCAGAACTGCTCCAACAGGGGAAGGTGAGAGATTGGCAGCGGAAAAATTTGACACGTTTATGGTGTTTACTGGGTGAGAACTTTAAATGGGAATTTTTGAGGGTGTTAAGAGGTAACTCAGCTGCTGACATGCTCATGTTTGTAGAGGAGGGCTCTTTTCTGTGGGATAAAAGCTTTTCTATCTTGCTTTCTGTCTCGATGTTCATACATAATGCATTTTGTCGTGCACAAGAACCCATTGGTGCTCAGTGCACTCAAAGCACAGTGTAGTCTCCTCACTGGTGGCCAGTGCTGTGGTGCTCCTGCTGTCCTGGCACTTACTGCTTTTAGCTTTTAGCAAAGAGCAGCATATATCTGTGTAGGTTGGCTCCCTAATGGCGAGGAGGACATTGTGCTCTTACTACAATGCCCCTCGTGCTGTCCTGTGAGCATTTCCCTCAGAGTCATCTCAGTCAGATCTCCGTCTTGCTTGCAACTCACGCGAACAATTTTGCAAATTACAGGTGCGTATTCTCGGTTACTCCGAGGCACTGACTACTATCCCCTGCTTATTTTTCACGTGGGTGCTAATGATGCTATGGGGAAACTTGCCAAAATAAAGCAAGATTACAGAGCCCTAGGGGTGGCTGTAAAAGAGGTGGGAGCCCAGGTAGTGTTCTTCTCCGTCCTTCCAATGAGCGGGATGGATTCAAGTAGGAGAAGACGGATAGGTGAAATCAACAACTGGCTGCGCCGCTG